TTATTTTTATAAAAAAAACTTTTTTATTATATTTTATATTTCTATTAATAAAGTTATTTTTTATTTTTATTTTTTTAAGCTAGTATTTCTTTATATTAAAATATAAGATATATATAATAATTATAATATAAAAGATTATTAAATAAAATATAATATATTTAAATATAATAAAAAAAGAAATAATATATAAATAAGAAATAGACTTTAAAATATATATTATTATAGTTTTTTTTTATAAAGCTTTTAAAATAAAATATAATTTTTTAGAAATAGGAAAATATTTTATATTAGTAGATTTCTTATTAAAATAGCTTAGAATAATTATATTATAATAAAAATATTATTATTTAAAGTCTAAAAAAAAGCTATAGTATATAATACTAGTTATATAATACTATTATATATAATTTAATATATAGCTAATACTTTTAGCTTATTTTAAGCTCTTTATTATTATTATAATATTATTTTATTATTTTATTATAATATTACTTTATTATTTTATTATAATATTACTTTATTATAATAATAAAGTAATATTTCTTTTATATTTTTATTTTTCCTTAAACTAGTATTTCTTTATATTAAAATATAAGATATATATTATTATAACTTGCTTTTTATAAGGCTCTTAAAAGTAAGATATAATTTTTTAAAAGCAGGAAAAATACTTTATACTAGTAAATCTTTTATTTAAATAATCTAAAATAGCTATATTATAATAAGAATATTATTTTTTAAAGTCTAAAAAAGAAAACTTATTATATAATACTAGTTATATAATACTATTATATATAATTTAATATATAGCTAGTATTTTTAGCCTAAAAAATAGTTTTAAGTTCAATTCAAACTCTTTATTATTATAATATTATTTTATTATAATAATAATTCTTTAATAATAATAATTCTTTAATAATAATAATTCTTTAATATAATAATTCTTTAATAATAATAATTCTTTAATAATAACAATTCTTTAATAATAATAATTCTTTAATAATAATAATTCTTTAATAATAATAATTCTTTAATAATAATAATTCTTTAATAATAATCTTTTAAGTTTTTTTCGAATTATTTAAAAACTTTATAAATTTATAATTTATAAATATATATAAAGTTATAATTATATATTTTTTTAATTCTAGCTTTATAATTAATAAATTATATATTAGAACTCTTAAAAATGTTTTTAATTATATATTTTTATATTATTTATATATAAATAAAAATAAGATTATAAAAATAAAAATTATATATTTAAAATCAAGAAATTAAAAGGCTATATAAATTACTATTTTATAATAATTTTTCTAAAAGTAAAATATACTAATATTAAATAATTAAAAAATATATATTAAATAAAAAAGAAATTAAAAAAGCTTAATATTATATTTATTAAAAAAAAGTATTTTTAAAATATATTTAAATTAACTTTTAAATATTTAATTAAATAATTAAGGTATTTTATAACTATATTATTATTTATATATTTAATAAAAATATATTTAATATATTTTATAATAATTAGATTTTTTAATATTTAATTATTTATAATCTTTTTTCTAAAGTAATTATAAAGAAAGAAAGAGGTTTATATTTATTTATATTAATAGTTTTAATTATTATAACTAATTTATAATTTTTATAAATATAATTATATATTTATTAATAAGGTAATAAATATAGGCTTTTAATTTATTTATATTTAAGATATTTTTTTCTTTATAATATAAAACTTCTTTAAAGTATTTTAATATTTTCGAAATTATATTCTAATATTTTCTTTTATATAAAACTCGAATTATATATATATAATTAGTTTTATTTTAATTATATAAAGTATTTTATAATTCTCTATTTAAATATTAAACTAATTAATTAAATAGAATAGTTTTAAAAGAAATTTAATTTAATTATATTAGATATATTATTAGATTTAAAAAAAGTATCTATAGCTTTTAAATAAGTAATTACGGCTTGAATTATTTAATATATAATAATTATACTAGCTTTTTATTACTTATAATAATATTATTAAATTGCTTTATTTTATATTTTATTTAGAATTTTGTTATTATTATTATTATTATTATTATTATTATAAAGTTTTTAAAAGTTTCTCTTTTATTATATTTATAAAATACCGATTTTTATAAAGAAGATTTCTTAATATAATATATTCTCGCAATAATAATTACTAAATTATTATTATTTTTAAGGTATTATTTACGTGCTTATTAAAGATATAATAATAATTAACTTTTATAATATATAAATAATAGAAATATTTCTAGAATATCTTTTTAATTCTAGTAAAATTAAATAAAAGTATATTAATTTTCGGAATTTTTAAATGCGAATTAAATAATAAATTAGTTAATAAATTAGGTTAAATATATAATTATAAAACGCGTTTTTTAATAAAAATTATATATAACTTTTAGGGCTTATATTTTCTTAATAAAACACTTAATTAAATAAGATACTTGCTTTTCCCGATTATAAGTAAAGTATAATAAAAGAAAAACCGGCTATTAATATATAAAGAGCTCCTTAAGCTCTTTAGAAGCTAGCTTTATAAAGAGTAAATAGAAAGTAAGCTTTAATACTTGTGAATTACGAGAAAAGGAAGCCCTATATTTATAGGCTACTTAGTATTAAATTTTAGGGCCACGGTCGCTAAATTATAGGCTATAAGTACTAAAAATTTAGTGTTTGGTGCAAGGGAATAATCGTTTAGTAATCAATTACTAATCAATGCGATTTGATAGCATTCGATTATGGGCAGAATTGATTACTAATTGATTGCTTAGTAATCGTTGCCAAGCCTGATTTATTCCCGGTAAACGTATATATCGCTTTGCCATATTCACATTTAATAGTCTCTATATATTCCCAGTAGAATTTTCCTTTGCCAAAGTGAAGAACTATTCTCGAGAGAATTCTTTCCTGGTACTGTATACCCAGGCTCGAGACAATAAGGGATATTGCTATCTAAGATAACCGGTGAGCTCAACAAACTGCTCTTCTTTGAACTCGGTAACTCTGATGAAGTAGTTGCAGTCCTCCCGAGCAGGATTGACGAGGGTTTGCTAAACAGACTTCCTGGGCTATCTCTGCATTAGGTTATCGCAATATTAAAAAGAGCGTTTTAATAGACTGCGCACAATGCACATGCGAGCTGACTCATTTTTCCATTCTTCCGGATAGGCTTGGACAATACAAAGACTATCTATCCAGAGATATCTGAAGCCCAATCACCAGACAGAGGATACGACATCTCTGAACGTCCGGGGTAGCGCCTTCCAAGCTATGCCTTGCTTGTGTTCTCCGAGGGTGGCTCGAGTGGTTTTGAATTGCTTCGACGCATCACCTCAATAATGACTCGGACACACATACGGAGCTAAATCTGTCATTTCGCGGGTTTCAAGATGTTATACGTCGCGCTTTGGAACAGAGACATCCAGCAGGCGGGTTGGCAATTGGCATCTTCATTTCGTTTTCGTTGCCTTCGCGTCGACATGTTGCATGGCCGTCAAGGCAGCGGTGCAACCACGTTTTCGCTAGCTGGAAACATATTCTGAGGAAGTGTCTCCACTGACTTTGTTTAGCTAGTCAAAAACCCACTTTGGAGCTATAGTCTGCATCGATTTGAGTTTCACAGCGCACATTTCCTGTTTTCAGGGAAACTATTTACCACGCTCGAGGGTATTGACCGTTTTCCTTTAGGATAGTTGCCGAGTGGGACCGCGGGCTATAAAATTATGAATATTTCCAGGAATGTCGCCGGAGAGCATCAGGATCTTGAGTCTGACACAAATGACCGACAATCGGTAATAGGAATCGATCGAGTAAGCGGCCCCTAGCGAAATATTAGTATTTATCTCCGCAAGGCAACAGGAGGTAAGGAGAACTTTTAAGTCAACGTTGAAGGACAAATTGATGCCCGGCGGAAAGTTACAAGAACCATGTTTGAGCCTTGTAACAGCAAGGCTGAATGCATCGGATACTGAGCGTGGATAGACTGGCGACTACTGGTCATAGAGACTTCAATAGGGGGCCTTGCGCGGAATACTGTTCAGCTCCAGGTGGTGATGAACAAGGAAGTTGAATGAAGGTAGGACTCAAGTTGAACGTCTGTCATCTTCGTGCTGCCTGCTTGTCCCGTGGTGGTGGCTGAGCAAAGCATGTTGTTGAACTGAGGTCACGTGCGTAGCAATGTAAACCTGGTGAACGGTACTGAACTGACTGCTGTTCTATAGTAGTAAAGTGGTCTATATATATGGGGCTTGAGCGCTCTAAAACATATGCCATAATCCCCCTATCTAGCTGAGCTTTCAGCTACTATATTAGCAATGCCGATATTCAAGTCCAGAGAGGCCTTAGGCACCCAAATCCATCACACGTGACCAGCCGAAGCGCCGGAGACACTTCTCCAATGAGAAATCCCTATAGCCTGATCTGCCACTAACTTGAGGTAGAGCTTTACAAAGTCCTCAGAGCACAATATTTTTTGGGATTTTTATTTTCAAATTCTGGTACCAACGCCACCCTATCCCCGCATACTGTCCCTGGGTATCTCAACTTTTGACCCTAAAGTAGTACTTAATTGCATTGGGGTCGCGAATTTCCCCAATGTTCTGCGCCTAGTTGGTAAAATATAGCCCGCGCTTCTCTCGATAATATCTAACCAGAAAAATGGGGAGTGGCATCCAGACCAAAGGGGAAAGACAGCCTTCTAGCACGTGACCGCAATTCTGGTGCAGCAACTTTTCGTCCGAACCACATTTCAAAGCGCGTTCTAGTATATGTCCGAAAGCCGAATTCAAAGGGCTGAATGAATTTCTCGTTGCATTCGGTCTTCGGCTTCGTAACAAACTCAAGGTTCAGGTGGACTTCGCCTGATCTGTATCTTACTCGGATGCGAGATTCGGATCCGAGTCTCGGCCCTGCGCCTACTCGACCACATTCGACCTTCGAATCTTTGACGTGCCCTCAATATATATACCGCCTTGAATTGTCTTCGGCATTAACCAAAGTATTTCAGAACATTCATCTTTAATTTGACGTGCACCAAATCTTGAATCGGACTCCGAAAACCACTCCAGACCACCAAATCGACAACTAATCCGGCGGGAAATTCGACCACTCGAAAACCGTACAATCAAACAAGAGTCTTCTTATTCAAAATCTCAGCAACATGGCCTCTCCTCCACTCAATGTTGCCATTATCGGGGCCGGCCTCTCAGGCCTTTCCCTCGCTCTGGCTCTGCACCAACAAGGCATCTCCTGCGTACTCTACGAGCGCAACAGCGCCCCCTTAAACATCGGCGGAGCCGTCATGCTCTCCCCAAACGCACTCAAAGTTCTCGAAGCTCTCTTAGTCTACTCTCGGATCAAGACCAAAGGCTACAACTTCGAGACCCTCGAATACCGCGACGTTGATGGGAGATTGTTGGAAGTATATGAGTTCGGAGGCGAAGAGAAGTACGGGTATAAGGCGTTGAGAATCTATCGAACGGCATTGATTGAGGAGTTGATGGTAATGTTGAGAGAGAAAGGGGTGAATATTGTGTTTGGGAAGAAATTTGTCAAGGTCCTTGAGGAGACGGACGAGGGCGTGAGCTGGGAGTTTGCTGACGGGACGAGAGAGACTGCGGGTTTGCTGGTGGGTACGGATGGAATCCATTCGGCGGTGCGGAAGTATTTGTATCCGGACTTGAAGCCGACGTTTGCTGGAGGGATGGGCGTTACAGCTGCGGTTCCGACTGAGCAATTGAAATTGCCTCTAGGATATCACATTCCGGTCACGATCTCGACGCCACATGGTTCTTTTGTTATTGCTCCGCAGGAATTCAATGGCTTGGAGGTCTTGATTGGGAAGCAGAAGCGTGTTGCGAAGGGCCATGACAGGGCTGGGTGGGATGCTATCTCGGCGGACAAGGAAGCACTTGTGAAGTTCCTCCAGCAGGATACTGAACACTTCCCTGAGTTAGTTCAAAACGCGGTGTCGAGTATTCCGCACGGAAAGATAAACGTTTGGCCGTTCTACATTGTGCCAAAGCTTGAGAGGTGGACTTCAGAAAAGAGGCGGGTGATTATTCTTGGCGATGGAGCACATGCGATTCCACCGAGTGCTGGCCAAGGAATCAACCAAGCGTTCGAGGATATCTATATTTTTGCTTTACTGCTAGGCCAGGTGGGTAGAGTGGACATGCAAGATGCGTTGAAGTTCTGGCAGGAATATCGGCAGCAGAGGATTGAAAAGGTGATGGAATTGAACGCTCAGATTGAGTTCAGACGGATGACGGAAGAGGAGAAGGCAAAAATGCCAGCTGGCTCTATGAAAGAGATTGAGTTAAGTTGGTTGTACAAACCGAACCTCAAAGCGGAGGTGGATAGTTGGATTGCAGCGAGAACAAAACTTACTGCTTGAAGTTCTATGCCTTTGTTACATCATGGATTGAAATCGCAGGTTGAGTCGACTTCATTCTCACACTCTGTAAAGGTTAGTTTCTTGAAGCTGTGAGAATTTAAATCTGAAATAGCAGCTTTAGAAGGTCAAGAATAGATTTGCTATCTCGCTTTTGCCATGTCGCTTCCTAATTGAGTCTTGGTTTGCACGGAAACGTGAAGAAGCAAAACATAATTTTGAAACATCGGATATAGCTTGACTAGTATTGGTTCCACAACTCGTCACAAATATTCGCCGGTGCGTAGTCTGACAGGAAGTAAAAGTTTGCTTCATCCATTTCGAGGTAGGAGGTCTAAAATTGTCAGAAGCCAATCTGCGTTCCATATAAACGCTCATGTTGAGGTAGAGTGTAGTTTAACATAAGGGAGAAAGGAGGGAGAGTACCCACAAGATCATTGTTGGTTACGGGCAGATCAGCAACCATTGCCGACGGTCGACCAGTCGGTCAGTGCAGCCCCATTTGGAAATGAATGCTGAGCATTTTGAAAAGGGGTTTGCTGTGCATGCTTTAGAAATCTGCGACTTCACACTGTGTGAATTATAACATATACCTTGTCATTTGCGTTCTCCTCAATGCTTATATCCTCCTGTCTGCCGGCTTCTCGACATGCTATAAGTACACAGTTAATTCCTCCATCATCACGTCCTCATATTCCCCCGGGTAGATTGTGCTTTTAGCAGTTGAGAAAATCACCGATAGTCTAGTGATGTCCTTGATATCGCTTCCATTTCTCCCGATTCTTTTCATTAAGCTGTCAATCGTGTCGTCAATTGCAAGCAAGAGGCTAGCTTTCGTCCAAGATACGAGTCCCGGAACCTGTGTGTGAAGACACACGTCTAAGGCTGCTTGCATGGTACTGTTCTGGCATAACATGTGGAACAGATTCCAATATCTCTCTCGGTGGCCAGTTTCGGGTCCAGAAGTCCTGGGATCGAAGAGCTTCTGATAGAATACTGATAGTGAGCATTGTAAGTGTTGAAATTGGTACGCTACCATAGCTAGCTTACCAGTCCTTCCAGCACCAGGTTCAACCACTAATTTAGGGTTCTCCACTCTCATTTGTCATGCGTCAGTCGCCGAGCTTACCAAGCTTACTAGTATATCGTCATTTTGATTACCTTTGATTTATCAGCTGATTGATAATATATCGGAGAAAGCGGGCTCGGCATCACCGGTATCGCCGAAGGGTAATGGGAATAAATCCCTTACTTTGGACACTTTTCCTCTGTTTCTAGACTTCACTCTTCTGTATCTAGTCATTCTACGAAGATTGCGGCATAAAGTGACGGGATTACAGGGCATTTACGTTCGCATAGGGGTGTTAGCGGACTCCAGGGTGTGGCTTAAGGTACTGCGCCTGCTAAAAGCCTTGTAACTCTAGGCCTGAACCCCTAAAACAAGGGCTGTGAGACATTTCCAAGGTGGTGGAAAATCTTCAAGGGTTAAGGTATTGCTGGCGGAGCAACCGTAGTGCTCGGGCGCTGTGAGAGAGCTATTATAGGACCCTTTAGCGAGTCTGCCCCTGTAAGTACAGGGGATATGCCTTCTAAAGGTGTGGTACCCCTTGTTTATGGTTTATAGCGTGCTTATAGGAGAGTAGCCTGGAAATATAGGGGACTTTAGTGGGTGAGTGTAGTAGAAAGTGGCCTGAACGTGGACTTGCGGTACAAATGCCCTGTAATCCCGTCACTTTATGCCGCAATCTTCGTACAGTCTGTCAACCTTCAATATATCGATTTTCCATCAATAAATCGATTACTTTTCAATAGTAAGCCAGCCGTTGTTGCTCCAGTTGCCAATTCTGATCAAGAAACGGATGATGGGTAGAGGTGTAATAGGGCTCATCGAATGTGGACATTGAGTAAGATTGTACGAAATAAGTGTCCAGCGTCTTCTTTCATGTCACGTTGGAGAGACAGCTTCGGTGGGAGATGCTGTATACGAAGATTGCGGCGGAATGCGGCATAAAGTGACGGGATTACAGGGCATTTGTACCGCATGTTCACTTTCAGGCCACTTTCTACCGCACTTACTCACTAAAGCCCACTATATTTCCAGGCCACTCTCCTACTTATGGTACTCGTGGAAACAAAGGTTAATTTGGTTCCAGCAGGTTCTGCGCTAACAAGGATAATTGACTAATCGTTCTTTCAATTTCGAAGAAGTATTACCTGAATCAGTTTGGCTTGGAAGTGAAGGCTTTACATCTGTTTCCCCGGGTACGAAGTACGGTGCCGCCTTCATACAGTCTAAGCCGGGCCCCCTGGCTAGCGTGGACCATGTCTTGCCAGACGAAGGGATAAAGTGAACTCGTGAAAATCCCGACGTCTTTGGGGCCTCAGTGATCGCCGATACGAATTGATAGAACAGCTTGGTGGTTGCCGCGCCGAGAGAGATGACCCGGCGACTGATGCCGCAGCGGATAATGGGTCGCTCATTGTCTGGCAAGAGAAAAGAGGGTTCCTTCCTCTGGTGCCCGGCATTCGAGGTTTTGTTCCCGCCTGTCCAGACGAGGCTGCTGAGCTGCGCCACTTTGAATGAGGCCGTGTATGGAAGTCTCGCAAAATGAGGCGGTCTGATCAGGCTTTTACTTGGCTCGTTGCAAAACACGAAATATCACGTAATTCTGTAATTCAGTGCAAGGCAGTTCCTGATTATGATAATAAATTTGGCAAGCAGAGAAGCTGTGAAATGTTTTCTGTTCGAAGTCATAAGCTTATCCGAAAGTGATACATGCCTCCTAAAGTATTTAAAACTCCGAGCTCCTCCCAATGATTAAAGTCTATGGTATATCCCATTCCCTGCAAATTTTTCTTTGCTCCGCGCTATGACTTTAAGTCCTGTGGTTAGCCCCTCCAATTTGCTCTTCCCACCTATTAAAACGAAATCGACAGTCTAGAGCAGTGCCACCACACCCCCGAGCCCCAAGAACGCGATCAATGCCAAGTTCGGCGCCACTCCTCCCATTGCCATGGAGGCTTTCTTTATACCCTTCGTCACTTTGAGGTTGAAGTTCGAGGCCGAGAAGGTAACATTAGAGGTTGCATGGAAGGCCTCCGTTCCATATTGTACCGACCCGAGGTAAGTTGTCGCTGGAAGTAAATTATGGCTCGTGAGATAATCGAAGAGTGGGGAGATGTCGAAGTTGAAGCTGGTGATGTTGGACGCGGCCAGCCAGGAGAAGACGGTCTGACCGTTGCCGTTAGGGCCTGTGTAGAGCGAACTATGAAGCAATTAGTCAATGATCAACCAGCAAAGATGTTGATAGAGGCTTACAATGTTGTTCCATTCAGCTTGTATGTGGGAGGGGTCTTGGTGATGTTGGCCCCGATGGCGTTCGCATAACCAAATTGTCCCATCCAGACCATGACTTCGTATTTTGGCTTTGTTGAGCTGCTAGATGCGGTGATACGATTGGGATCCAGAAACATGTCGATCACAACATCTGCTGATGCACCAATGGCAGACAGGCTGCTCGAGCCGTCGCTTGGTGTCATGGACCAGTCGACCGCAAGGTTCAAAGAGGTAAGGTTCAACAGCTGAACTGGGAGTTGAGTCGATACAAGCCTGACGTTGGGGAATGCGTGAACGTTGTCCTGATTCTTGGTCCATTTCCATGTGGCGCTGAAACTATCGTCACCAGCGGGGATCTTCGACTGTGAGTTAGTATTCATAAACACAGGTCAGGAGAGGTAGGACTTACGCTGATACATGACGCGCCCGAGCCATCATTTCCCCATGCATCCGTACTGACTATTCAGGTCAGATATCGCGATGTTGGCCAAGAGTTTTTTATAACTTACAGATGTTCTGAGACGCAGCACTTGTGAGGGTATCGAAGTCCCCACAGTAAACCCTGGTGGTGGAGGATGAGGCTGTTGGGGCTGCTGCACAAAGAACGGAAGCGAACAACGCTGAGGAAAACAACCTTAAGAGCGCCATTATTTTATTAAGTTGTATGCTAGTTTAGAAGACCTAGAAGGATTCGAGGAAGTAAAGCTTTTGCGGTTCAGGTTTTGGGATTGCACAGAGGGCATCCATTGCGGTGAGGCTCCCTTTTGTTTTATATTTCTTCTCTCATTTCTTCTCTCACGTAATATTATTTTTAGATTTGCTGAGTGAGACCCGTGGGCAGAGGCGCTGGCACAGGGGAGGCGGAGAGGCACAGTGGCGCCATTTTGTCGGGGCTGAGCCTCAGCCGCAGCCCGGAACTTTATGGCCGCCTCCGAAATTTCTCACGCACCTAAGACTGCGGCTTTCTCATCTTTATCGATAGGCGCAAACAACGAGGCCCCACTCGTCAGACCGATACTCAGCTTTTCCAGATGTGGGCGCCATGACTCAGCCAAGTGAACAGCAGAAAGGCTCCTTCACAGTCTAGCAGTCTCACAGCATCAGCATATCCACTTAAGATGGAACGTCGCCCACCATCCCAAGCAACATGGGCGTTTCTGACTCCTCCGGCCGATACCCAACTCTGAAACTCTTTATCCGGCTGTCGATCTCAAGGCTGTTTTTTGCCAAGGCTGTCTCAGCTCGGAGGGTAGATCACGTGACTACAATGTACAGGATTTACCGTGACGCCTGGAGAAAGCCGATCTACCCTCACTCATATTCCCCAACTTTCAGGCTTTACCAAAATCAATCGTGGTACACTTGCATCCCCGTCTGGCGCGTCTGCCCGGCTTCCTGGGCAAATGCTAAACGCCACGTGCAGCCGTGGTGGGGGAGGACGGCGTCCACCCACATTCCGAGCCCCTCGAAAAGGCCTCGATTTCACCACAATATGGATTGGCAACTTTTGGTGATAGTTGGCGGAGTCTGCGGGGATATGGAGTAGTTCTAAGTGCACTATGTTCGCATAAGTATCCTAGCTTCCGCCCTTTTCCTTCCTTCAACGAATGCATTTTTCATTCCCTTCCTACCAGTCCTCATTTACGCAATCACGGAGAAATGAGTCTGGGCTCTTGAAAGATTGTGCTCATCTCAATATTACTCCAGACTATGCCTCGTCTGCCTATTGCAACGCAGACCTTTCCTTCTTTCATGCTAATATCAGCTGGTATTTCGCTTGTGGTTGTTGGCTGGCTTGTCTACGTTCGTCTCCACCAGGAACATTTCACTGCGAGGGGAAAACACTAAACGGCTATCCCAGATCATTTACCATGCTTACGTAACGCCTCTTCGACATATACCCGGGCCATGGTACGCAAAATTTACTCATCTCTGGCTGAAAGTCCAGGTACTCGGAGGTCGACGCGTCCAGTACATCCACGCACTTCATCAAATATATGGCCCCATCGTGCACATTTCTCCTGCAGAGATCGCAGTCGCAGATTTTGATATCTTCCGCGAAATTCATAGGATCAAGTCCGGCTACCTTAAAAGCCCTTGGTATCAAGAGTTCGGTCCGCCGGGGATCTTTACCATGATCGATCCTCACCGGCATGCAAAGCGAAGACAGCTACTCGCGCGAGGGTTTAGTAAGTCATATCTACGACAGAACTGGGAGCCTATGGTCAAGGAGAAAGCGGAGACGGCGGTGGAGAAGATCAAAAGAGACGCTCAAAGAGGGACGGCAGATATTCTAAAGTGGTGGACCTTTTACACGACAGATACTGTTGGCCAGTTGTCGTTTGGAGAGTCGTTTCACATGCTAGAACAAGAGGAGGTGAATCATTTCCCCCGCTTTAATATAGCTTGAATCATTGATTTGAATGGCAAGCTAAATCTTTGCATGTAGAAAAATACCTACATTTATGTCCTCGAGTCGGCTCTTATGATGAGTGGAATCCAGACAGAGCTTCCTTTCCTTCGATTCTGCAGGTATCTACCCCTGCTATCTATCCGAAGACTCTTCCGCGCAGACGACTACCTTCTGGAGTACGGCACTCGTGCGGTAGCAAATGTCAAGGGGCAGGAGGGTCACACCAGCAACGTCTTCTCTACCATCTCCGCCGAAGCGGAGAAAGTAAACATTGCCCTCTCGCCCCTGGACGTAAATCGCGAAGCGGGAAATTTCATCGTCGCTGGATCTGACACCACCGCCATCACACTCACGTACCTGACCTGGGCAGTCTTGAAACAGCCTGGACTTCAAAGAGCTCTGGAGGGCGAAGTCCATAGTTTAAAGTATGATTTTGCGGATGCCGATCTTGAAGCTCTGCCTCTACTCAACGCGGTGATCGAAGAAACTCTCAGATTATACGGCGCGGCACCAGCCAGTCTTCCACGGACAACCCCTCCAGGTGGTGCAACCCACGGTGGATACTTCGTTCCTGGCGGCACTACTGTCAGCACACAAGCTTTCACAATCCACCGCGATAGCTCTCTCTTCCCCAATCCAGACAAGTATATAAGTCCTTTCCTCCCCAGCCACCTACCCGGCTAATATAAAATCCAGATTCGACCCTTCCCGCTTCCTTCATAGAGAGAAACTATCCGCAAATGCTTCTGCCGCCCTTCATGCTTTTGGTGCTGGCTCGAGGGTCTGTCTTGGAATTCATCTTGCTCGTATGGAGCTTCGGATTGCAGCATGTTTGTTTTTCCGTGAATGCGTTGGTGCGAAATTGGCGGGCACCTGCACGGATGAAAGTATGGAGATGGAGAACTATTTCCTCATAGCTCCCAAGTCTCACCGCTGTGAAATAATGTTGGAAGCAAACGTTTCCTGAGTGTTATGGCGTTGAATCAGAAAATATAGGACAAGGTTTTCAGAATAGATCACCTTAATTACTGAATGTCGAAGACATTATTGCATGGCAATAGCGCACCAGGCTTTTGGCCAATGAGAAACCACCAAGCCAATCGAAGACGAGAGAGACGCAAGTAGCGAACATGGAGGTCGCAGGCTAGACTACTGCTGTCTTGTCTTGTAATAGGCCTCCGTCTCGATAGACAAGGTCTGCAGATAACGACCCGAGGAAGCCTCTTTGGGTTCGGTGAGGGGGACTCTTTGCCCGGTTGGGGTGGCTGGGCAGCAGACCTCGAGCAGGCTACCCCTCCAAACACTCAACCTACGCGTGCGTTTGAAGCTCTGTCCTCTTATAATCTTGATCTTACAAGAGGTATGGGATTAAATGAAATTGTGAGGCGTGCTGGCCATAGAAGTAGAGGGTCATACCATAAGAGCTTTCGGCAATTTCGGAGTCAAAAAATGGAATGCAAATGAAATACTCTGTGAACGATCTGATTGCAAAAGGATCAAGTAAGGAGTAAAACTTGCTTGCTTCGTCTCCACCCCCAGCTCAACTCCAGATCTTAACATCAATCGAAGAAAGCACTCTTCTGCTCTACAAGCTTTGCACTGTCCAACCACTCAATCATCCGCTTAATCTTCCCGTCCTCCTCAAACCAAAACGTGTAAACATACTGTTGTTCGTAAGCACCCCCTGTAACCACTGCATCCGCTTTAGCCGTCGCAAACAACACGACCTTCTTCGCCTTTGGGTCTTCAACAATGTCGGATATATTCAACTTCCAGTTTGCGAGACGAGGAATTACGGAGCCGCCAAAGAAAGCGCGGTAGGTCTCGTTGTCCATTGCAGGCTGCGCAAGACTTGCTATGAGATGAAAGTCAGTAGCAAAGAGGCGGGAACTAAGGGAATGGGGACTACCAGGCTGCACTTCGGTGACGCAGCCGGGTGTTCGGATGTTCATTATGTTGTCAATAGACCAGCTTTCGTAGGCGGCTACTACGTTCAATGCTGCCTTTCCGAGAGCGGATGTTGAGCTTGCTGAAGCCATCATAAAAGCATATAGTGTTGAGGGGAGCTGGGGGAGATTGAAACGAGGTTGGCAAGCGGACCATTAGTGGTGTTCTGAGGAGGTGCTATCTGGTCTCATTATAGACCGATGGATGGTATGCAGAAGCGTTATGCCGCAGCCAAGACTCCATCGCCCCCAAAGATAGGGAATTTTCGATTAGTAAGCCTCAAGTCTTACGTTATATGTAATCTCGGTTGGGCAGGCTGGTCAGCTGGTTAGCATCATATGCTAAAAATGGAGGACTGATTACATATTAAGTTATTACGCTCTAAAGCAATTGATTCGTGGGCCGCTGACGGGTTCTCGCTTCGCTAACTAAGTCTACCCCTTTTCCAAGCTCCTGAGCTGTCGCCTCGCTACCCCTTTATTCCACTGTGCATCACGTGCATGCCATTTACCCTGAACTTCACCCCACTGTGAAGGAAAGCAATGGAAATGCCCTTGAAACGACAGAGGAGGGAGGTGTTTCCATAGAGCATACCAAGCCTACCAAGCCAAATATATGGCTCTCGTATGAGTAAAATAGCCTTCTGTTCTGTTCAATCGAGGGATTCGAGGTCAAGCCCGGACGAAGCTAGGTTATCTACTATTAGACTGTACAGTAAAAACTCGCTATAAGGATAGGGGTTTTGTCGCCGATTCTTAAGGATATACCAAGGTATCCTTATATCAAGGATTACGTGCAGAGATATATAAATAGAAATATTACTAGGATTTGAAGATATATACAGAACCTCTCCATTCTAAGGCCTCACAATGCCCCAATTACCTGTAGATAATTCAATTACAGCTTGCTGTACCTTACGCTGGTGGATTTGCGTGCTTCCATCGCCGTACGGCACGTCGATCGGCCTCTGTCGTCGCTCTGCGCCTCTTTTTAGCCTGTTGGGGAGCCATAGGATCGGTGGGGGGGAGGGTAATAGGCTGTGAAGGCTCTGGAACAGGGAGATTAATCGTTCGGCGCTTCCCACCCAGTTTCTCGTATTGCTGACCCTCACCCAGTAAGCGTGCTAAGCGAGAAACTGGGTGGGAAGCGCCGAACGATTAACGCTTAGAGTGCGGGTTTACTGGTGCCTGAAGGCCTGACAGGAGCGGTAAATTAGCCCATCACGTGCATAATTATAAGGATAAAATACCAAAAAATCAAGGTTGGGATAAAAAATCGTAAGGATAATCCTTATAGTAAGGATATCCTTAGCTCAGGGCTAATTTTTATTGGGATCCTAAGGTAGCATCCTTATATTGAGTATCCTTTTAGCGAGTTTTTACTGTAGAACGCGATATATTGCGGAGTAAACCGTGAGAATAAAGCTAACTGTCAGCCAATGAAAAGAGAAGCGGGGGGCAGTGCATGCTGTATCAATTACAAAAAAACCTTAACACGTGACTGTAGTCTCGTGCCACCGCGACACCAGGGAAAATTTTCAAACCTGCAGCTTTCTTTTCTTTCCTACGAACCACGACCTTTTATCAACTCCACCCCTCCAACCTGGCATATCCTCATGCCGCCATCACGCTCCAGCAAAGCGGAGGCTCTCCTCCGTCCGCCTTTCATACGTGAGGCGTTCACAAATCGAGCTTTAGGTTGATTATCATTATTTAGCCTGGGGAGATATACACGAAAAGGGACAGTCTAAACCAAGAAAGTCTTGTCCACAGCCCCAGACTAGCCCAGTACGACCACCTTTTGGACCTCCAGGCCATCCGCCTCGGGAGAAAGCCCGAAAACTCCCCTTCTGGATCTCGATCTGGTTATCGCTTCTCCAGGATAAGTTAGTTTAATGTTCAGGGACGGACTGCGGCCGTAGACGCTAACGCTTGAAGGAAGAGAGACGAAAACTATTCCACCAAAGTCTTCTTATCGTCCGCAAATAATCCTTATATAATCTCTAAGCCTTAATATGCCTCTATAGCCTAAGCCCCTTAATAATATAAATAAACCCAAATACAAAAATGCCCGTTAGATATGTCCCCAATATCTCCTCAACCCCGATTAAGGATACGTATTATTAGTATATAAAGGGTCGGACTCCCTTCGTTGGCAAGCGGAATAAGGTACCGATTTCTTATGAAGTCTCAGTCGATTAGAGACGGGCGGGCGAATCTTGTATATTGACATTTGAATAATAGAGGAGATACGAGTCTCGAGTCGAGGGGAGGAGTTAATTCGAGTCGGAGCGGTGGCGACGGTGAGGAGGAGATTCGCTGTCGTCAGATCGGGGGACTCAATCCTAGCCCTGTATTCTCCAAAGAGACTGTAATCGGTGGACTAACTACTACAGGTTACCACACCGCACCACGAGGAGGTGTTGAGTCGTCGCGGTCCGAGGCGTTCACAAATCAAATCGCACAAAACCCCAACCGGATCTCGCGGGCTGCCGAATCCGAGCCCACAACCACCAAAACCTAGCACCATCCCGCAGATCATCACCACCTGACAGCACGCGAACAGCTCCGGGCTCCCAAGATGGGCAAATCAGGAATCTCATGTTGATATCTGATTGAGGTTTACTCAGCGCCAAGTGGCTGCTGCCGCAGTGCCGGCGTACATCCAAGGAACTGACTGCCGGCTTTTCCGGCAAAGGCAATCGCGCGTGTGCTCGCTGGCGCCGGCTCTACTCTCGAAGTAAATTCTGTACTTGCCTATCCATCGTTCACGAGACGTGCAGAGACGAAGCAGAGACGAAGCAGCGACGATGTAGTGGGCTCTATGATCAAGGTAGACAGGTACAAGTAGGTGGTCGTTCTTTCCCCGTTTCTCCTCATCTACGTTGCATGTTCTGCTGCTACTGCCCTTCATTACTGTTCTTCTTGCATGCGCATCAGAAATTAGGATGCCCCGCAGCATTTTCATTTTGTCAACAAAGAACCAGTGCCGGATCTCTCGGATCTCTGGCGCCATACACGTCACACACGCACACTTTATTATCCCGCTGTCGCTCGTTTGCGAAGGACTGTCCCGCGGAGCCTCATATACCCTCCACTCCTCACCGCGCAGTGACATATCCTCCACGCCATCTTCTCCCATCAACACGGTAGCGACAAGCCAACATGGGTGGGATTGGCGCGGTCACAGAGCCGCTTGTGGTTATCGCATTGCTTGTTGGCGGCACGTGGATTAATCGTGATTTCAATCCTGGCAGAAGAAGGAGGCCAAGAGACATCAGAAGGGTTTCCGATAATGCGAGGGTGCATGGAGAGACTGCGGCATTGATGGAGGATGATGTTGAATCCAGGTCTGCAAGCCCGAGTTTACTTGGAGGCCAGGAACCAAAGTGGAGGACAAGAACTCTTGAGGTGTGGGGAATGAGGAAAGAGGCTGTGACGCCGAATACGAGGAGATTCAAGGGGTATTTTTTGAGTCGGCTATTGGAGAGATTCCCGTTTTTGGTGGAGTGTTGGTATTGGGCTTTGATTTATTGGGTGAGTTGTGCAGACCGGCATTATGGGATTCGCTGACAGCCAAAGGTATATCAATTAGGCCGCGCAGCAACAGCAGTTTGGATCGTCGAAGGCACCATCCATGCCGCCCGAAACCACGCCCTAAAAGTCATCGCTATGGAGGAGAGGCTACGCATATTCTGGGAGCTGGATATTCAACGGTTCTTCATGCAGGATCATTTCGCAATGACTTGGATCAATCGGACCTACTCCTTTATCCATATTCCCGGCTCGATCGCTTTCCTGGTTTGGCTTTTCTACTATACCAATACGCGGAATCGGATAGATGACAGTCAGAACTGCAAGAATCGTGGGGAGGCGAAAGGGTCTCCTGCTGGCCCGAGACTGTACGAATCTCGGCGACGGACAATGGCGTTCTGCAATTTGCTTGCGTTCATCATATTCACCGTCTGGCCATGCATGCCTCCACGACTCTTGACCGCCGATACCTCCCAGGGGAAAAGCGGACAATTGGCAAGAAGCTATGGGTACGTTTTCCCACCAAAACCTGGGGTTACTTCTAACATGGCACAGCTTCGTCGATACAGTTCACGGACCAGGAGGTGAAGGCTCCATCTGGACCGACAACCGATTCACCAACAAATTCGCTGCGATGCCCTCTCTACACTTCGGTTACTCCCTTCTAACCGGACTCACTATCGCAGCGATTCCTCTAAACTCGGCACATCCATCCACCACACAGTTCGTACTCCCTTTCTTCAATCAATCGCACCCCAAACTCGCACCCAAGATCACAATGCCTTCGTGGAGACGGATGACCTGTCTGTTAGTCGGATTCTTATACCCAACAATTATCCTTGTCGCAATTATTGCCACGGCAAATCACTTCATCCTTGACGCTGTAGCTGGTAGCATTGTATGCGGCGTTGCATGGTGGGGCAACGACGTCCTCCTCAACCTGCTTGCTTTGGAAGACTGGTTCTTGTGGGTAGTGCGGATCCACAAACCGGAAACTGAGGTTATTGATGTCGAAGAAGAAGATCAACGTGGTACCTGGACCAAGGGAGTTTTGAGAAACTGAGCTGTAGCGGATGATACTAAGTTGTTACTCACTCGTAGGGCGGAATTTTGGAATGCATGGAGCCAAAGGAGCAGCTTTCCCCCAGCGGCGTGTTGGCACAATCAGCCTTAGCGTAAGGTATACACACGGCATTGAATGACAGCGACATCGAGATATCAGATCGGGACCCGCCGAACACCGTCTTTCATTTTCTGCAGGTTGATGACATCGCTCGCAAAGATTCTGCACTGCTACGTCCCGTGATCGGTGTGAGACTTTCTCCGGATGACTACTTCCGGCAAAAGTTGCCTCCTAAGAAATTCACCCAACATACCAAGTGGTAGACTGTACCACCCGGCACCTTACCGTTGCTTTTAAATTTTGCTTGAAGGGTAAAGCAAACTCTATCCCTCACGCAGTCAGCATGGCATATGCGGTGCAAGTGTCACCCCGGATTCTTATTTCAAAATTCGGAACCGACTCTTCGTGTACTGCCCCGAACCCCCTGTCAAATCTCAGGTCGCGGTCTGAATCATAGCCTCTGAATGGCTCTGAATGGCGAATGTCAGACATGAGCGCGGAAACGGTGCCGACTTCCGATGTCGCCCCACCCTCAATAACCTTTACTAAGACCAAAGGGTCCAGGGCGTCATTATATTCTCTCAAGGCCGAATGCGCGAGGGCGAGAGGGGGGCACGTCTTTCCTTCAGCTGAGAGAAGGTTTGCAGGATGGCTTTGAAGTTTGGAAGAAGAAAAGAGGTGACACAGTGACGAGAGACGAGACGAGAGACGAGACGAGATCAAGATGCACGAGAAACGAAGCGAAGCGGAGGCTGAAGCGCCAGCCGAGGCGGGTGCTCGCGCAGACAGAACAACACTCGAAAGCCAAATCGACGAGAAACACCAACGCGACGACCTCGACATCGACATCGACGCCTCGAAAGACAAGAACATCCCCACCGACTCCTCTTCCGCAAGTATCGAAGCAGCAGAATCCTCTTCCAAAATCGAAAATGCTGCTCCTACACCCCCGCCTCCCAAGGATGGCGCAGACTCGAATCCAGAGGCGTCGCGCACAAAGCTCGAGACAACAATCATCATGCTCTCCCTCTGCGCCTCCGTCTTCCTCGCCGCGCTCGACACGACCATAATAACTACCGCTTTGCCCACGATATCAGAATACTTCCACTCCAACGCCGGCTACACCTGGATCGGCTCTGCCTATCTGCTCGCGAACGCAGCGAGTACACCATCATGGGGCAAGTTCTCCGACATCTGGGGACGAAAGCCCATCCTGCTCGTCGCCGCCGCTATTTTCTTCGTCGGGAGTCTGCTAGCAGGAGTTAGCGTGAGCATCGGGATGTTAATTGCTGCGCGAGCTATTCAAGGCGTCGGCGGAGGAGGCCTGATTATATTGGTCAATATTTGTATTAGTGATTTGTTCAGTATGCGGAATCGGGGCACCTACTTTGGGGTTATTGGGATGGTGTGGGCGTTTGCGAGTGCGGTGGGTCCGATACTTGGAGGCGTGTTTACAGAGAAGGTGTCTTGGAGGTGGTGTTTTTATATCAACTGTAAGCTGCTTCCCCCATTTCTGTCTTGCTCCCCCTCCTACCTCAAAATCTTTAGCTGACAAGGTTGTAGTGCCAATCACAGGAACCGTATTCATCCTCCTCTTCTTCTTCCTGCACCTCCACAATCCCAAAACGCCAGTCTGGGAAGGCCTCAAAGCCGTCGACTGGGCCGGCTCCCTGACTATCGTCGGCGGCACCCTAATGCTCCTCCTCGGCCTCGAATTCGGTGGTGTTACCTACCCTTGGGCCTCCGCAAAAGTCATCTGCTTGATCGTTTTCGGCCTCTTCGTCGCCAGCCTCTTCATTCTCAACGAGTGGAAGCTTGCCCGCTATCCCGTGATGCCATTGCGGCTTTTCAAAACCCTATCGAATATTGCGTCGTTAGGAGTCACGTTCTGCCACGGCTACGTCTTCATAGCAGGGACATACTACCTACCCCTCTACTTTCAAGCCGTGCTAGGCGCCACTCCCTTATTATCCGGTGTCTACCTATTACCCCTCGTGCTCTCGCTATCTTTCGTGAGCGGCGCCACAGGCGTCTGGATCAAGAAAACTGGAAAATACCTGCCCGCAATTTGGTTCGGGATGGCGGTCCTCACGCTGGGCACAGGCTTATACATCGATATGGACGCGAGAAAGGCGTGGACGAAAATAATAATTTTCCAGATTATTGCTGGCATTGGCGTGGGGCCTAACTTCCAATCGCCTCTCCTTGCTCTGCAAACAGGCGTTGCGCAGAGGGATATCGCGACTGCGACGGCGACGTTTGGGTTCGTGAGGAACTTGAGTACGAGTATTAGTGTGGTTATTGGTGGCGTGGTGTTCCAAAACGAAATGCAGAAGCGCTACCCGTCTCTCGTTTCCTCCTTGGGGCTGGAAACAGCGAATATGCTGTCCGGCGGCTCGGCAGGCGCATCAGTGGGGATTGTCAAGGCACTCCCCGAGGCACAGAGGGCGGTGGCGAGGGAAGCCTTCGCGGGCAGTTTGCGGACGATGTGGATTATGTATGTTGCGTTCAGTGCGCTGGGGTTGGTGATTAGTTTGGGGATTGGGAGTACGAAGTTGAGTAAGGAGCATGAGGTTACGAGGACGGGGTTGGTGGAGGAGGAGAAGAAGAGGAGGGAGAACAAGGAGTTGAAGATGGCGACGAAGAGGGAGAGGAATGGGGAGGTTGTTCCGAAGGAAGAAGTTTGATGTGGTTGGGAACGGTGATGTATGATTGCATTTTGGCATTTTCGGGAGTTTTGGGAAGGGGATGAGATATCAAATCTGCATCAGCACAGCACAGCACAGCACAAGCATACCATTGGGTTGCATTTCACATTATACGATACGAGGCGTTCGGAGAAAAATTAGACATTATTGTATCCTGATTCTAATACTCGTACATTCATTCATCTCTTCTACGTCATGAACTGGCCAAAGCAGCCGTACATCGTCCTTCCATTTGTTCCAGCTTTCATCCCCTATCGTACTTCGTAATGTACATGCATCCAGTGCCCCAGCACGGCACCAGGGAATTTTCAACCAAACTTCTCCTCTTCATGTCGTTTGTGGGAGAATTCCCCGAACAGACGAACCGTTCGTAATGGCGTTCCTAGCGCCATGTCGTCTTCGCGTTCCATAATTTCTGGGTATATCCATCTCTTCATATCCTCATTCCCTACTCCTCCATTCTGGTATAATGTTGTCTCGTCCTTCGATCAAGCCCCATTCGTCTTCCCATTCCCATTCAATCCCGTCCCCGTCCGATCTACCGGCGTTATGAAGGGTGTCTGTCTATCACGGCCCGGCTTAGCAGGCATAGCGATCACCTTCGCAAAGGCCTCTGCAGATGCTTCGTGATCGCGAATTCGTCGTTCATGGTCTCGAACCCGGTCTTGGTGCCTTCGGACTTCTTGTTCAAAGAGTCAGCATTCCAATTCTCAGGTCCCTCATAGTTCTTCGATTCATCTCAGAGGAAAAAGAGGGAAGGGGAGATGCTCGCAAGCTCGCACTACGTACCTTCTTGATGTATCCTCACCTCCTCCGCATGCTTTAACGCCTCCGCCTCATAATACTGCCTCATCTCATACTCCTCCTGCGCAATTCTCTCCTGTTCCGCGGCCATCCTGGCCTGCTCCTCCAGCATCCGTTCCCTCTCCTCATTCATCGCATCTTGTTCTCTCGCCCTTTCGTCCGCCTGCCGTTCATACTCCAGCATCTGCGCCGTGCGCGTGCCGCGCGGTGGCGTCGCCATCTTTGCAAAGTAATTACTTATCGCAAATCCCGAGCTGGAGCCAAAGGTCGTGAGGCCGCCGCCTCGAGTCTGCGACGAAGATTGGGATAGGGAAGGAGCCTTGGTTTGCGAGGAGGAGGGGTAGCCCGACCGCCCGCGGCGATCCTCGACCGGCGGAGGGGAGGATGAGGAGCTGCTGTACGAAGTCCGCTTGGTGGATTGGCTGGGTGAGCGGGTGGTTGTGGATGTGCTGGAGGTGTCGATGGAGCCGGGCTTGCTGCGGAATACTTGCTCGAGCGGGATTCGTGACAAGGACATGAAGAGTGAGCCCGCTCTCTGGTCTTTATATTCTGTGGAGAGGAGAAAATAAAAAAGGGGTGGGTAAAGCCACTAGAGAAGTAATACGACCACCCGTTCGTGCATCTTGCACTGGCACTGGCTCGATGTGATGGGTCTTGCAGGTGAAGTCCAAGAGACAGATGTTCAGAGGGGGTCCACATGTGCACAATGTCTCGGCGGCCCAAACCCTTATGGGAAGGAAGTGTCTGGTGCAGAGGATGGCGCGCGCTGATGTCTGCTCAACTCGAGCGTGTGATCGCCACAGGGATAACCATCCCATCACCCAAGGACGGGGATGCAGCAGAGCTGCTGTGTGGGTGGAGACGTCAGGGCGTGTTACAATGCGTGCGTCACGTTTCTGGAGCTCCGAACGCGTGCTGCAGCTGCAAACCCCTTGTTGCCACCATGACCCAGGAGCAGCTGCTTGAGTGGTTTTCCAGACGCGATGGCCTCCTTTGAGAGAATATCAGAGTTTGTGGCTCGCGTGGCATTTCCGCGGGAATGGATATGGTTGAAGATGAAGAAGGGTTTGCTGATAACCGACGAACCCAAAATCACGTTTCAGCCTCAGGGTTTCAGCCTCGTGGTAATCGGTTGAGTGAACAACCCAGATCTGCCTACCTGTAAAAATCCGGGATTTTTTTTAAAGCCTTCAGGGCGGCAAACTGCCACCATTGGATGCGCTTCTGCAGAGAAACCATTTATGGGACAATTTGAAGCGTCGATCAATTTGAAACGTCGAAGCGGGTTTTTGCCCCTGAGCCAAATCGGGGCCTGCCCTTCAATTCCACTGCCGAGCACGTGACGTCTCCTTTTCCTCCTCATTCAATCGAAATCCCAATACCGTTCGAATGTTCTTCCGCAGATTTAGGATTCTAGAGGGATTTGGAAGTTACAGCATTACGTGGTAAGCCCTTTCGCGAAATAATCTCCTCACTCCACCTTCGTACAGGCAAAGTCTCGAATCGTGTACCACCTCAACCTCCTTGGTAATCTTTCGGTTCAGAGATCTTTCCCTTGGCACAGAGACGAGACCATTCTCAGGGTACATCGTCGGTTTCATTATTTTGACAGGTTTACCTTTTTTCTTTTCTTTCTTTCTTTCTTTCTTTCTTTCTTTTTGGACTTTTGGGGAGTTTCATGCGGTAGTTCGCGGATTGTTGCATCGACGTGGATTATTGCTTGAATTTGAGAAGCCGAGGTGCTTTGCAAATTACTTGTTATCTGCTCTCTTATAAACTTGTAATTTGCTACGTAGTATTAGAAGCTAATTTAGGCGTGGATGCCACCGCTCCTTTTCCATGGGCCAATTCCCTTTCACTCTTCAGTGGCTCGGGTCATGTGACGTGGCAACGGACCCGGTACACCCCTGTAGTCCAGGAAACTCTTTATGGCAAAGCTATTGTCCAGATATCCTTACCTATTCTTAAAACCACTCCAAAAAACAATCCCTGTGTGTTTCGACTGAATCAAATACGCTTTGCGAGGATGAAATTCAATTTTTCATATCTCCAGCCGCCGAGATTTTGGAAAAGGGGTAGCGAAGCGAGCAACCCTCCGCTGGCGTCTCCGCTTTAGGTGTTCACCTCATAAACGTATCAGGGGGGAAGGAATTGATAAATATGCCAAAAGGTGGGTTATCCAAATCGCTTGCACTACTCCTGTTTTTGGTTGTCGTAAAGGCTTTGGATCGAAAAGGTTACGGCATCGGGGGGCATTTCATGATTGACCCCAACAACCGTGATTTGGAGTCTGTAGTCAATACTATATACAAGCCAGGCATTGTTTAAATTTTGTTTTCTTTGCAGCATGCCTTTGAAATTTGCTATTTTATAATTCCCAACTTCAAACTGCACACCCATTCGCATCCAGTTACCACCCTCATCACGAACCACATAACCATTAAATCTAACAGACATGTCTTCCACAAATGATCACTACCAATTCCACGGTCTCACAAGAGACTGTACAGAAGCCGGTATTACAACGGTGTCTAGAAGGATGTGCCTCACTAATCATCCTGACAAGAACCCCGGATGTAAGGAGTCAGAAGAGAAAACTAAAGAAAGACAGTCTCCCCAAAAGCCTCACTCCAACTGGGAGAAGTTGACAGAAATAGAGGGTAAAGCCTACGAGATCCTGTAAGATCCAAAAAAGTGGGGAGCATACGACGCCCAGTTTTCTCTGTGTCGACCACGACTAAGTCCGACCTAGTACAATGCCCATTCCCAGGCATCTGAACCACGCCACTTCTGGGAGTACATGTTTGGCGCCGCCTCACGGAAGTTTCAGTAACTTTCCTCGCCCATTTGCGGTCATGATTCCTACTAGCCGAACATCTTTACACCCACGGCGACGACGCGGTGCAAGGCATGCATATGCATTCTACCAGCAAGAACCCATAAGTAGAAAACCCTACATCTCTACATATTCCGAGTCCGGCAGCCGATCTGGTTGCAGAGCTCCGCTTGGATTCGTTCGCACGAGCAAGCATAGTCGATGGTCGGACCTAGCCGAGCAGCGCTTGTTGGCACCCAAGAAAGTTGCGTCGAGTTAATTACTATGTGAAGGCGAGCTTGCTATGACGAGCCTTGTCCTAGTCAAATCCCTTCGTCTTGCCAATTCGTCAGATATTTCACTTGTTCGATTTCTGCATAGGGAAAAGGTGCTGGCTGCTGTGGCGGGGCCGCAGCTTCAGCCGTGTAGCTTCGTCACTGTCATGACTGGGCATCTTGTGATGGAAGATCGAGAATGAAGGCATTGTGAGGACTTGACTAGGTTAGCGTTCAGCATGAATCGATTAGTTCCGACTAAGTGCAAAGCGGGTCGTAGTGCCATGTTGCTTATCCCTGTGGTGTAAAGGTTATGTGAAGATTATTAAGTTATATAAAGCGATAAAAATGGAGGAGTAATGTGCACATCTTCTCCCTTTGCTTTCCGTAACCCCGGCCACGTGGAAGCACATTCTCGCCTCAAATTCAACTTCTAAGCATTCCCGAGTGCATCTTACTTTGCTCCCAACTTATAGCTTTCCAGAACGCGTCTCAAATCATCCCAGATGGCTGTTGGATGAAGAGAAAATGCAATGGAAGGCGCAGGCTTGCCATTTGGGTGGCAAGTGAGCTGCATGAACCTGCCAGTGTGATTTGAGAGGGACAATAGCTTCTGTCCATCTTTATGGCGATTAAATTGGTGAAAATGTTTGTCGTCGTGCAATTGCGGGTATTAGGGAAGACGAGACTCGCAAAGTGATCGACGCATCGCGACACCTTTCAGTGGGCCAACTCTTCTGCTATGTAGCCCCTCTAGCGCATAGGGCGACCCGTAGTTGATTGGTGATGAGAGGTTGCCAAGCATGTTCTGTCCGGTGTTCTGGTGTCAAAGGTTCGATAGGTACTAAGCGACTTGGCTTGTGGGTAGCGTGTGTTAAGATATATGGGCTGATACCTCATACATTCCCAAAGGATATTAAGGTAATATCCAGAATACAACGCATATTTAACTCACGACGGGGAATGGAAGAAGTTCCTTGCCGTAGAAATCTCCTTGACGTTTTATGTCCTTAATTATCGTAGCGGAGTTTTCTGTTTTGAAGGGATTTTACACTCTGGCTTGGATTATACATATTAATCAATAGAGCCTTCCGCATCCACTTGAATTGATTATTACATGTATATTACTTCCATTAACTATATTCACCTAGAATTCTAATTTTTGGGATTGGCTTTGACCTCCTGGTATTATATAACACTTGGTTGCCGCGTGAACAACAAGGCCTTCCATTCCCAATCTTGATAGCGGAATGTAGTCGATAATAATATCGTGCTTCTCTTCCGTCTTCTACTATTGTTTGTTTAGATAATCACTTTAAGTTTGCTGCCCGTATAATGGATGAAGAACTTTCGGTGAAGCCTTTATAGCAGATATTCCATCCCCTTCACATATCTACCTTTATTTAATTATTCCTTTTTGTTGTTTACTAATCCCCTTATTTATTATGCGGTTCCCAGAATTCTCATCAGCCCTTGCCCTCTCACTTTTATCGGAACCTATTGCCAATGGCCCTCCTTGCCCTTCTACACATGGCCAGGGTTATGTTGCTATCAGTGATATATCCATATCTATAACTACATCCGTATCTATTAAACCTTCTGTTCCGTAAGTTTACCTCGCTTCCATACAACTCAATTCACAATTCCATTTTCTCACAGCACGCGCCATTAGATCTCTACCCGTTCTAATCCTGAACGTCACCCAGCAGCAAGCCCAGCAGCAGTTCATACTTGAAATTGGGTTCTCCGGTTCGAGATCTGTTAGATTCGGGCAGCCTCCATCGTATGTCTTTTCACAGGGCACATCAACAACTTGTCAGTTCGCCACTGCCTTTATCCTTGTCGACAACCAGCTATATGCAGATAGACAACTAGTTTCAACGAGTGCAGGCACGCTATTTCAGCCGTTTGTCACGAGTTCATCTAGCGGTGGCATTAATGATGGGTTTCACCTGGTCAACGGTGTCTTGCAATGGAGTAATCCAAGATTCGCTGCCAGCTCTGCCACCTTTTGTCTATCAACTTCCAACATCGTTTTCGCTGCTTATAATCCTTCTGCCACACCTAGTAGTTGTATTCCAATTACTCTGACCCAAGTACCTTGTAAGTTTGGACATCCTTTAGATTTGTATTTTGCACACTGAAATGAATCTTAGATACCCAATGCTTTCGGACCATTTCTGTATTTATCCCATTAGCTCCTCTAGGTCCTCAGGGTCCGCAAGAAACGACAATTATAAATGGTGCGACGGGTGTAGCAGGCGCTATAGGTCCAACAGGGGCAGCAGGTGCTTCAGGTGTTATAGGTCCGACAGGTGCAGCAGGTCCGAAAGGCGCAACAGGTGAAATAGGTCCTACAGGCGCAGTAGGTCCGACAGGTGCAGCGGGTGCAACGGGTGCTATAGGTCCTACGGGTGCTACAGGTGCTACAGGTGCTACAGGTGCTACAGGTGCTACAGGTGCTGCAGGTGCTGCAGGTGCTATAGGTCCTACGGGTGCTACAGGTGCAGCAGGTCCGACAGGCGCAGTAGGTCCGACAGGTGCAACAGGTGCTACCGGCGCCACAGGCGCCACAGGCCCCTCAGGTGGCAATGAAACATCCGCAGGCTACGCTGTAAATTACGAATATCTAGGCTGCTACGTCGCCAATCCGGACGGAAATTTTGGGCTTGCCCCCCTCTCGGCTCAAAACATCCTCACCACGTCAGTCGACGACTGCGTATTCTTTTGTGCGGGCCAGGCTGGTGGAAGCCTTTACTTGACACTTGGTACAACTAGGGCTGGAGCCTCTATCTGCTCGTGCGGCAATACTCTTACCTCTCAAAACTTTCAGTCCATAGGAGCAAATTTTCAATGTAACTCTCCTTGCCGACTGTCGGTGACTCCGAAGGTCGGGGTGGATTACTGTGGCGGATATTTTGGCGAAGATCCGTTGGTCTCTGTTTTTGGGGCAATTTGAGGTTGGCTTTTAGGAGAGGGAAATGAGCTAAACTTCAATCTTCTCCCTGATATGAGCGCTGTTTAGTGTGCTATTTCCGGCAGGGTTGCGGATATAACGGCACAAATAAAGCGCAATCCTCTTTTTTTCTTTTTTAGCCAAAAGTTCAGGCAATGATAGTCTTGTTCGGAGAAGGTATAGGGAATATGCTTTCTGCATTCTGTTAGTAACCCGGATTATTGGTTACTGCCGATCTGCTGCACACGCCGCATTGAAGATACAGAAGACACATGGGCTGATAGACGGTAGGGCTGAGAGTGGGCAGGATTCGAAGTTTCTAAAGGTCATTATCCCTAGTAATCGCAATTATATTAGAAGTTGACGGCTGGCTGCGGCAAGGGACTAATAGCTGGCGGGAGTTTCAAAGTATTACTTAAGGAATATTAATAAATTATACCAGTAGCTTAGCAGCTAGACCACTTGGGATCAGCTATTATTTTGTGAGGCTACTAAAGACATTTCGTCCCTTTTCTGGATTTGGGGGACATAATTGGGCAAATGGAGAGAGGATGGGTTACTATCGACTCGTGCTTCAGAGATTTCCGATAATGTGAATAAGGCAAAGCTGAGATACTGAGAAATAATGATTGAGTACAAGCTCGGAATGATCCGTCAGTGCCGTAAAGTGCCCCAGTTAGAGGATTGATTATATGAGTAGGATGACAAGAACTAAGATATGTTATATATCATATAATAGTGTGCCCCTGCCAACCCATGTAACCCCCCTGTTCTGCTCGCGTAGCATTCCTAAAACATGGGTATACGCCCAGAGCAGTGATTTTTGATCTCAACTCTGATTAGAATACATATAAGCACCCTTTCAGGGCAGCCCTGGAAGGGTGGTTATGCGGTTGAGAATTTGATTCCCTTCTAGCCCCTGTCCCCCACACGTAGCAAGCTAATTTTTATAATTTTATAATAAAGTAAGGCTTTCTTTTTCGGCTATTCTTTAGCCCCCGGCACGCGCACAAAAGGTAGGCAAGAAGCACGTCCCTCTCTTGTAATCTCTTAAGAAGTATATCCTCAAAGCACGTGAAAACGCTCCGCACGCCGTCGCGCGCCGAAGGCGCGTAACGGCGTGCCCCTAGCCTATTAAGGTCCTAGTATGAGCAGAGATAGGCTTTAGAACTCCCAGAATTAGCACGATAGCTAGTTATATCTAGAAAAGGCATAATAATAAAAATATGATCCATGCATACATGCTTTCAGAATGCACAAATGCGCCGATATTCAACGAGTAGCTGTCATGCCATAGATGAAGCCTTTGCAGCTCATTTCAAATAAAAGGATTCGCAAGTTGGAGAGTTTGTACAATCAGGTGGGAAAAGTCATCGTCACATAATAATTTGAGACTACTCACTTCCTTTATTATAACTGTACCAAATTCTAATCAAATTTAATTATTTTTGAATATAATAAGAGGCCTTTAATATTTACTTATATTAGTTTAACTAATTATGTATATTAATTTTTAAATTAATAAGAAATTATAAAGATTTATAAAAGTATTATAAAAATAAAAGACAAATTTTTAAACTATTATTGCTTTTAATTGCGTTAATAATATTCTCTAAGATTAAACCCTATTATTATTTATAGTATTTTGAAGCCTTATTATGAGTTACGTATAATAATTATAATATATTATTACATTATTAAGATTTTAATTCTTAGGTTTTCGAGAAAATAAGCGAAAATAAGCGAAAATATATGAAAATCATAACTTTTAGATTCGAATAACTTTATATTTATAAGCGATAATTATGTGAAATTTGGCTTTGCTATTTTAAACTACTATAAGTTAAATATATTAAAGTTTTGGAGATTTATAATTAGTAAATAATAAGTATAATAAGACTAAAATTTAAGAAATATTATATAATTTTCAAATTAATATTAATATATTATTAATCTAATAATAAAAGTTTCTTATATTATATTATACATATATTTTAGCTCTTAGTATTAATTTTTTAAACAGAATATTAATAGATATATTATACAAAAAGTTATAGGATTCTGAATATCTTTAAAGCTGAAGGCACGTGACGAACACTTAACCCACCTGATTGTACTACCACCAAGAGTATTTTCTGGCATTGGATATCTCGTAAGCGACTGTAGTCATTTCACTAACGTCCAAAACGTGCTATAGAGGGATGGGCTACTCAACGGAATGTCAACAGAATGTCAACGGAATGTCAACAGAGTGTAAACGGAATGTCAATGGAATGTCAACGGCGTGTGAAGGGAATGTCAACAGAATGTTAATATTTTGCGATCGGCAGCATCATAACGCACAGAGCTCAAGTGCAGTTAAGGATCTCTCTAAATTTCAGAGTCTGAAATATATTAATATCGAGATATTGTTAAGAATGTGGCATGACTCATGGGCCAAGATTCAAAAGGCCTGGCCAACAGAGAATTATGCTTCATGTGATTAGTCGCCATAGGACGAAAATGTATAAGTTCCCCTCGCATCCCCAATTTAAAACTTCATCCTCATCAGCCTGGAAATCCAAATTCACTTCTTACCAACTATTACAAAACGGCGACTATTATCACAACCGGTACTCTTCTCTTCTCATTTCCAAAAATGATGTTCCCACAGGCACTTATGGCTCTCGGCGCCCTGCTTGCGTTTGTGCCGGCAACACAAGGATCGACAAGTCCCTGTGTTTACCAGGGATACAAGTGTGGCTATACAATGGTCACGGAGTTTGGTATGTCTACCCTCACCTTTTTCCAGTGCACCCGTCCATCTCTATCAGACATCTACTAACGTCATTTCTATAAAAGGATACAATAACACTGAGTTGACCTTTGCCGTGAACAAAACCAATGTTGTTCCTCCGTTGAACACTATACAGCTCCTCAATGTTCTGTACAGATGTGTGGATACCAGAGGCGACATCGCTGCGAACTCTTTCTGTATCGCTGGCTGCATCTCCGTTGGCGATTTTACGGTTAGCGACGAGTGTGCCATGTAGTAACTCTTGGGTTACTACGACATCACTACTACTATTACTGAAGCGCCTAATACGGGCCACTTCCTCCTAGGATCAGTTTGGTAGGACGAGGGGTGGTGTTCAAGGTGGATGTGAGGTGTGGGTCGAGGTTTTCTTTCGCTGCTTGTCCACTTGGTTCCTAGTGCGTTCGTAATATTTGCATGTATTGTATGCTATATTGCCTAAATATTTGAACAGGGCTCTGACCAGCTAGAACTGCCAACCAGCTATAGTAGTTGGAAAGCATGATTAATCATAACTGTCACTCATTAATTACTCTTCCATCGATTGCAAAAGAAAACAGGGTGACATTAAGGAAAGTTCTGCTAGTGCGGTTAGACCGATACTAAACAGCAGCCATGATGAACACCTCGGATGCCACCCACTTGCTGCAAGCAACATGAGTAGGGGGTGATGCGAGTGTCAGTAGAGCCTGAGCAGGGCGGCGGCGTTGATCAACCGGGTTAGAAGGGACTGTTGATTTGTGAGTCAGAGGCGGAGTGATTACATCGCTCAAAGAGCCGAATCTAGGAGTGGGCAATGCCCTGATTATATACAACCTGGTGGTGGTGCTGACAAGAGGCTACTGTAGTCATGCGATTCCTGACCCACCATTTCAACAGTGACGCACGTCGTGGTCCGTCGCAGATTACCTCTCTGACCAGCGACGAATCTTGACCTTACCTAAATCCGTTTCCGTCTTTGAACCTGAGCTGTCGGTGCTCTAACCTGAGCCGAGCCCTGAGTACGCTGATGAGCCAGCTGGATCATGCTTGGGGGTCCTCTTCTGGCCCCCTTCGCGAATCGGGCCGCTCCCGGTGGCACCAACTCCTCAAGAGCCATTGCGTAGGACGGCAGGTCAGTGGACGTGTTTTTAGCGATATTTTCAGGCAGGGAAAAACCAAAGGTCGCCCACTTCACTTAATAAGTGTGCCACAACTATAAATCATGGCCAATTATAATCTAAGGTTACACGATAAAAGAAGGTAAACCGAGTTTTCATGCCTTTTTTATACAATTAGGATAAGGTTAAAGCGTTAAAATTGCATTTGGTGTTCGTTTCTTAGCGGAATGCCCTGAGACACGGGCTTCTGAGGGCATGCTCGTAAATTGATGGTTGGGTGACTGGGCAGCTGTCACAGCCCGCAAGTTCACTAGGGCTGACGGATTGTGCGACAGCAACGCGCGTATACCACCATTTGCGCCAAGAAGCTATATAAGTTATTAGCGGCCGGACATTGATCGTCCCTGCCCTGTTCAAAGCTCCCACAAGATCCAGTTGCAAGTTATCTTCGGTCTGCTACCGTCTGTCCCCGTACGGACCATCTAGCACACAACTTTGCCGGCGATTCGCTTCTACTCTTGGGACTGATATCTACTCTGGTAGATTCCAGAGCATCATGGCTGACCCTGGCCTTAGAGAAGGCATTGTGCCACTCAAAATCCAGCACATCGACGCTCCATGTCACATTTACTACAATATCATTGGCGATTTATCGAGCAACTCGCCTCGGCTGATTGTACTTCACGGTGGTCCAGGCACTGGCCATGAGTATCTTCTTCCTACTGGAGATGAGTCTTTTGGCAGGAAAGTCTTTTCCTGGCCGAGTTGGACAACCTGCTAGATTTCCTTCAGCTTTGCGACGGGCCGGGCTACCGCATTCTAGGCCATAGCTGGGGTCGCAGAATCGCCGTCACTTTCGCAACCACCCAGCCCCGGGTGTTGCAACGACTGGTCCTCGCTAGCGGTATAGCCAGCTCTCGAGGTTGGGTGGAGGGTATCCAAATCATCCGCAGGCAGTTGCCGTCTGATGCGCAATTGGCGATTGATGAAGAGGAGCAGAAAGGCAATTTTGAAAGTGCCCGCTTTAGAGATGCGATGAGCGTGTTTTTCCGCAATTACCTCTGTCGCGCGAAGCCCTTTCCACCTAAGGAGCTTTTACCTGAGCGAGGACAAGACTGTACGGGACACAATGTCAGTTTATTCCATCACCACTGTTAAATCTGTTCTATTCTTCGTCCTGCGATATATTTCAAATATCTCCTCTTTCGCAACTCAACTCTCGGGCTATCTCATGCAGTCTCCGACATTACTCACGCTTTCGCTAAGTCTTCTTCAGAGCGGGACCATCGCCTCTGGACTGCACAGGCTCCTTCCGGGACTGGTCCTGCACTCCGTACCTGCATCAAATTGCCGTGCCGACGCTTGTGTATAACGGCGAGTTTGACACCTCGCATGACATAACTACAGTGCCTTTTTTTGAGCACATACCTCGTGTAAGATGGATCACATTTCCAGATGCCGGACATATTTGCCATCTGGAGCGACCGGAGCTTGCATGGAAAGAGTTTAGAATCGTCGGAGAGTTCCTGACGCAGAAGAAATGAAAGCTACGGTCAGTAAAACTAGTTATAGTCTACTAGCTCTTATAGAGCCGGACTTAAATATTTACAAAGTCACACGAGGATCACGCGACATTATTTAAATCTGATATAGTAGTAATATATGTAAGTAAATAACTATAATATAATTATAAAAAATAAGAGAAGCAAATTATATAAAAGATATATAATATAAAACTAATATATTACTAATAATATTAATTTCTATATATATTATAAGATTTGTACTTAAATATAATTATAATATATATAAAGTAAAGTTTATTTTAAATATTTTGTTTTTATTTATATTACATTATAATATATTAAGTTGAATTAATTTATATAAGTTATATAAGTAACTTATTTAAGTCTTCTAATATCTTGGAGCAAGTATATCTTTATTGTTGTATATTTCGCAACTTGCTTTTTTGCCAGTTGTGCTTGATTTGAAGCTTAGACTAGATCAGACATTTCAATTTTCTTTACGACATATGACCTCCCCATGCAATACAGAGAACCATGCATCTTCTTGCTCTCCCCACTTTTGCCAGGCCTCTGCAATCCTCTCAAGGTCAGCACTAGTCGCAAGTTTGCCATCGACAGCAGTCTTTGCAAATGAGGAAGCCTCTATTCTCTCAGCCCATAATCCACTCCACCACGCAATCTCCTCCCTGGTGCTATAGCACCAAGTGCTAGAACTGCTTTTGATGCCACCCACCTCAAACCCGGCCTTCCTCGCCCAAGCGTGAACCATGCGCCCAGCATTCGGCTCACCTCCATTCCACTTCGCGAGCTTCAAATATAGAGACCGCCATTCTTTCATCCCTTCCACATCCGGATACCAGACGAAAGACTCATAATCCGACTCTCTCGCAGCTACGATTCCCCCGACCCTTGCCACTCGCCTCATCTCCTTCAGAACGCCGACTGGATCCTGAACATGTTGCAAGACTTGATGGCACACCACTATATCAAATGTACCATCCGCATAATCAAGAGCATTAGCATCGCCCTCGACGAAATCGATGTTCGTCACTTTCTTGTCCTTCGTTAGTGCCCGTGCTTGAGTTAGAACGTCCCCGACTCGCTCGAGACCGGTGATATGGCCGTGGGGGACGTAGCTGGCGAGGTCGACGGTGATGGTCCCGGGGCCGCAGCCTATATCCAGAATGGTCATGTTGGGTGTTAGGTGGGGGAGCAGGTAGGCGGCAGAATTGAGAGCTGTGCGCCAGGTGTGGGAGCGGAGAACTGAGGCATGGTGCCCGTGGCTGTAGGTTGCGGTTTCTGATTTGCGATCCATTGTGAATAGAGTGAAATTGTGTATATAGATATTGATAAGACGTAGACTAGATTGGATGTGTTATGAATACTGTAGCAGAGTGGAAAGAAACATTTGGATCAAAAATTAAAGGGTCGCACAGAGCGTTATTATATGTGAAATAGGGGGGGGGGGGGGGTTAAAGTTGCCCTATTCGTCCGGTATCGGAGGATTGACTGAAGCCATAGAAGTCGCTTAGCTGTTTCTCGAGAATATGAGGACACCGCCCTTGTCTGTAAATCCTGATTCTCTAGGTGGTTTACAGTGGGATTGGTGTCCTAGACCCTTGTATGGCTCATGATAGGACACCCTTTCCAGTAAAACTTCGAATCATTTATATGTACGCCACAGTCCAAGCATGATGTGCTAGAATCCGCAAATTTTAGCAACAATTGCACAGAAACATATTCCATATCCTGCCTTGAACCTCATATATTTACACTGTCAAGTAAAAACGACCCCAAATTTCTGAAACAAACCTGGGCTTGAACTGCAGCGAGCGGGTCGAGAATGGCTCCTGTTTACAAATCGAGAAAAGCAGCCGGACACAACGTGAAGTTCTCAGAGTCATGAAACTCATTTAATCATATTACTCAAAACCTTTTGAGCTATTTCAAATTCATCATTTCAAAAGCTAGGCGAGAAGTAAAAAATTTCTCTCCCCATTACACGCTTCTTCTGTCCATTGTTCCTCCTCCCTCCAGTTGTCTTCCAACTCCCAACACCATCAACCATGACACTCTGTTGCTCAGGTCCTGCTCACGATACTCACCCTAGGTTCAGGTTAAAGCGGATGCTGCTCATGTCCGCAGACTAGACTGGAACCAAGAAAAAAAATTAATCCCTAGTCAAGGGGGATAAATAGGCGAGTAGTATTCAAACCTCGAATTTCTCCTTTGATGCCGTATGGACCTACTAAGGGAAAGGTCGCCCAGTCCTCCTCAACTTAATAAACATAAGTGAAATCCTCGTTCTTCAAGTCCGGCATGTTAGCAAAAGAATGATCCTCCTCCCGAGGAGTAACTTGTTGCCCTGCCCCTTTCCTAAATACTGCAGATCGGCCTTTCGCATCATGGATTCATCTTGGATGGTAGCTGATTTGCCCACTGCAAAACGCATGCGGCTATGCTTACCATTAAGGAATTTGAGGTAAAGCATGATGAAACTTTGGAGTCAGCAAAATATATTGTTAGAAAGGGAGATGATTTACCCAACCAAAACTTCGACAAAGATAAACATGACGAGATTTGATATCAAGACAGTTCTATTATATGGCTTCTCTTCGGTTGAATATAGAAGTGGACCAATGATATTTCCGGTATATATCCCAACAAAGACAAGGCCAGTGGTGACCTTGCGCTTGGTATCTCCTGTAGTGTTCTAGACATGCCATGTATAGATCAACAAAGTAATGCCGGACAAGAAAGAGGTGTAATAATATGCGAAAAGTAGAGGGCCTTTGCTGCCAGGTTCGCGTTTAACCCCAGAAGGAGCGAATCCCCAAGGATACATGGCAGAGCCAAGATGGAAATAACGGCCCCCTTGCTATGCGTTGCGAGCCAGCCACCGCCGAGGATTGCAATAATATTAATAACACCAAATGGGATACTGAACAGGATGGTATTGAACTTATCGAAGTCGAATGATTGGGCGATCAAGGGCCCAGAGGTACCGATTTCACCTGATGGGATGCTGCTAATTGTCAGTAACGTCGATCAAGAAGCAGAAGTTCACGGAGAAAGGGACATACGAGATCCCCATTACGAGGAAGAACCAGCACCACGACTTTGGATCAGGGAATGCCTCTAGCACATGATCCCAGCGCCATTTGGATGATACCCATTTGGCTGGCTCGCAGACGCTCGATTGCAATATCTCGTTCTCCTTGTCTCCAGAACTTTGCTTCCATGAGCGAGTCGGGAAAAAAGATGAAAAATAATACAGAGAAGACGAGTGTGAGGCCATCGCAGTAAAGGAAAATAACCTGGTACGAATGCAGCTTCTGCAATGCAATATTATGGCCTTAACCATAGGTACTCAAGCTTCCAAACTATTGACATTAGTCTAGCACTCCCGCAGCTGGTGATACACTTTCACATACAATGGAAGTAATACCGTTCATCGCATTCCATGCAGCGGTTCTATTAGTCTATTCACTACGTCGCCACCACATCTGAGTAACAGCAACAAGGGAGGGACCTATCCCGGCAGCACATGCAGAAGCACTTGGTAGAGGAGAAAGGTACGAATGACCTTTAAATCTGCCTAGGACAAACCGAGCGGCCAGCAATTGCTTAAAGTTGTGACATGCGGCCATTCCACACATTGTGCCTCCCCAGAATAAAATCACAATCGAGATCAGCTTCCCAGTTGGCAGCTTGACAAAAAAAAATGGCACCTAAAGACTGCATCACAAGCTGTGCAAAGTATAGAATGGACCTCAACCAAGAATACTGTTTGCCATGGAGGGGTGCATCTGCCTGGATATTGAACACCGAAGTATATGACAAAGAGGACTTGTCGAGTTGCTGGAGGAAGTATGCGCCGAGCATGAGTGGTAGCACAGGCCAGTAAATCTTTCTCAACACTCGTTTCCCTTCATCAACGTCGAAGTACACGTTTGTATAGTGGTCGAGGAGGTCGTTTGGATACTCTCTCGCCATCTCCGACTGTCGCTCAACATGAGCCGAGATGGCGTCTTTGTTCTCCTCGGGGGGAGCCATTTCGATTTGTTACAAAACAACTGAAGGCGAAAAACTCTACGCCGGAGTTGTAGATAACGAAGGAAGACAAAGCGAACTCTTAACTGAGGGAGAGGTGTTTATCTGTGCATTAGCCAAACTGTATTCGTACCGCTCGGTTGGGTCGCACACGAGAATTGGTAGCAGAAGACTTCTGCATGTGGTACTCGGATCATTTCAACCGATCAGTGAGTGGCCAGCAATATGGTTTCTACGATCGAGGCCGAAGACGGAATGAATGCAGTCAAGGAAGGATGCATGTTAGTTGTAGATGACCTGATAGGATGTGATATGATCTTACAGTACGCCACATTTCTTGAATGAACATCCTGGCCATGGGAGCCTTCCGACCTAACTGTTGTAGGGCTTCGTTCCCCTCCTTCGACGATAGGTTTTGGTAAAACTCGCATGATCCGCACTACCTTAGCCCTCCCGGCTTCGGTTCATCTAACGGCGAAGACTTGCTTCCAAGACAGCCAAGCACAACAATCCGCGTATTTGGCACGGTGCTCCTCTCCCGTATCGGAGATCTTCGTACTACCTGGGTAAGTCATTTCTGCCCGGTGAAACATTTATGAGCCTTGGCTCTTGCTCGGGGTTGTTGCGAAGCAGTCTGGTCGCCGGATGTGGGACAAGATTTGTCGTTTGGGGTTGAGCCTACTAAGTAAAGAAAACCTGGAGAGGGTGAAGGCGGTGGAGAGTTGAGATTCAGGCCAATGTCAAAGGTGGGACGGTCGGATTCCGGTGTGGGGTTCATTGGCACACGTGACCTCTCCCCTTTTTCCGGAATCGGCAGACTCGGGCAAACTTTAAATGTGCTTTCCATTTCTGTAAAGCCTCACATATTGAAGCGCAAATTCACTATTCGGTTCTTTTACTTCAAGAGACTCGAATTTTCCCTGCCATCGCCGGTATGGTGAAGAAATACGCAATGATCGGCCTTGGAGGTCGGAGCAGCTTCTTCTACACAGCACCCGCCAAGGATTTCGAATCCAACTCAGTCATCGTTGGTCTATGTGACACAATCCAACTCGAATGGATGTCGCCAATGCCAATTTGGGGTTTCTCTCATCTCCCTCAGCACCAATACCAACCTACAAAGCTCAAGGTTTCGACAAAATGATTGCAGACACCAAACCAGATGAGGTTGTCATCACAACTACGGGATCGCACCCACGACATTTATATTATCAGAGCACTGGAGTTGAGCTGCAATGTGATAACTGAGAAACCAATGACGATTAATAAGGTAAGGTGTAAAGCCATCATTAATACGGTTAACAAGACGGGAAAGAAGGTCAGGGTGACTTTCAATTACCAATACGCACCACATAAGACAAGGTATTCGAGCTCTAGGTATGTTGAAGTACTTCCTATTATTTGTCACGGTTCATATCTATGAGTCAATCACAGGCTAATAAAAGGAGGCGAAGAAGTAATTGGCCAAGTCAACTCCGTTCATTTCGAGTGGGCTCTGAATACCAGCCATGGAGCCGATTACTTCCGTCGCTGGCACCGAGACACACGCAATGCTGGAGGTCCTCTGGTACACAAATCAACGCACCACTTCGACCTCATCAACTTTTGGCTACTCTCACATCCCGTCTCCGTCATGGCTCAAGGAGGTCTCATGTTCTACGGTCGTGAAAAGGCCGAGAAGCGTTGTATCACGGAATTCTACTGTCGCGCACCTGGCAGTGAAGTTGCAAAAAAAGATCCATTTGCACTTCACCTAGAAGAGCATGAACAACTACTGAGAAAGATGTATGTAGAAGCTGAGCACGAGGATTCCTATTATCAAGACCAAAGCGTCTTTGGGGATGGGATCAGCAACAAGGATACGATGGGAGTCCTGGTAAAGTACGCAAGCGGGGCCTTTTCGACGTACAGTTTGACTGCGTATGCACCATGGGAGGGGTTTAGAGCTATCTTCAACGGAACGAAGTGGAGGCTGGAGTTGGTCGTTGTGGAACAAAGCTATGTCAATAGCGCAGGCGAGCAGGGAGCTGAAGGCGCTTTGCAGAAGTGTACGGTCACATTGAGACCCTTATTTAAAAAGCTTAGGGAATTTGAAGTTGAGGGCGGACTTGGAGGCCATGGTGGCGGAGATCCCGTTTTGCTGAATGATTTGTTTGGTGGGAATGTGGGAGAAGACCAATTTGGGCGGGCTGCAGATCATGTTGATGGAGCGAAGGGTATTTTAACGGGGATTTGCGCAAATAAGTCCTTGAGAACGGAGGGTGTGGTTCAGGTGAAGGATGTATTAGATCTAAAATATTAGATGACTAGAACCTATGATTCCCTGAACGCCTCAACTCTTCGCACGATCCCTCTTTATAGTGCTTCTATCTGCCTCTAAGTCTACAGGTTCTCCACATGAGATAAGACCCAACCGTAGTCGTCGAATAGATGATTTGCTTTCTTGCTTGCCCAGCCCATGAATGGATCATCACTGCACATTAATGCTTCCTCGGAGTGGCCAGGGGATGGTTGTGACCGGATCTGCGCGGGGCCGTCAAGTGATAATGCGGTGTATGTTTGATCTGAAGTCTCATCGGACAGTGCCGGAGATTCTTGGTGAGGCGGAAACCGAAGGCCCTGTGCGTCAGCTATACTCGAGTTCCTCAAATTTGAGTCGACGATATTGGACGCAAGAGCATGTGTCTTGAGGCCCGGAAATGCCTCGATGTCATCTCCAGTGTCGAGTCCAGGAGAAAAATGATTGCCCTCAAGTGGTTCTGGAAAGGCGGGGTAGTGACTGTATGAATTCCACGGAATGGCACCAACTTGATCGCTGTCTGTCCAGTACCCAGAGTCGTTGTTGCTAGCCAGATCTCCAAAGCTCGACACTGAGTGTTTTGCGTGCAAGGCCAAAGCCTCTTGCTCGAATGCATCCCAGAATACCTCTGGCGCGGCCGGAATGGGGACGTATTCAGCATGGCTTGCATCGAGGCGAATATCATCTGTTCCAGTTCTGCGTACATCAGCTAAAATCTTTCTGGACTCAGAAATAATAAGTGCCATACCTTGCGATTTTCCCATCATCTGTGTCACATATACTAGCCTTTGTGACGGGCTTGGGTCGAGGTAGACTGGCTTGGGATGCTCTGCCCCTCAATGTGCGTACTTCTTTTGGACTGCCATCTGTTGACTTTGCGTGGATCTTGTTTTGGGGGCATTCATCCGGATCGCACTGCAGGTGGTAAGAATAGTGGTAAGTAGATTTTCGTGGTTGGCGACTCACAGCTGTCTTCGAAGCGCGATGCTTGTCGCAGGCATTGCCTCTATTCTCCGCCACTTTCCGACGTTTGATTGGGTCATATGGCTGCCTCTTTCGTTTCTCCAGTTCCTGCCCATTCGACAGATTCCACGTCGTCATAATTCCACCTGTACGGATTTCGACTAATGGCTCTAGGTTTGGAGTTGCGTTCTCAGCTCGCGGGTTCTCAGCTCGAGACGGTGTTCGAGAGGACGCTCTAGAACGGCCCCGCGACGACGCCCGGGACGAAGCTCGTGATGATGGCTGAGATGGCGTACGTTGTACTCCAGGAGCCTTCCAACTCCTCAGAGATGCCTTGGTAGCTTGTACAGGCGACACTGGGACGTCTCTCTTCTTTGCAAGGCTGGCTTGCAGGTTGTTTTCAGGCAGCTCACAAACGAATTGCGTGCCCCGCTCGGAGTCGAAGAAGTTCCTCAATGCCGCCTGCATGAGCTGCAGTTCTGTCTCTAAGCTTGGAAACGTGTATATTAACGCATCTTTCAACGCCTGTGTGCCTCTCTTGGGCTCGAATTGCGGGATCCCGTGCTGGTCGCGGAAGACCCTGTACGTTGGTGGCGACGCTGCCATGGCGAGGCGATTGTTGTTGGAGCCGATTAAAGGTGGTGTGAGCCCCTACATTAACGAAACATTATTTGAGCTGTCTATATTGAGGCGAGGCATGATTTGAGAAGTGTAAGCTGATGCTGTGAGGCTGAGTCGGAGTCCCGAAACGGAACAGCTGCTAGTCCAGATTAGGTGGCCGACATACATCACGTGATGTAATACAGCCCCCACACCGAGGCTCCTGCCTTGGCTCATTCCTACCTGAAGCTTCCCGAGCACGGAAAGGATTGTGCATTTCCCTTTTGTGAATTCCCATCTCCATTTCCTTCCACAATGCACAGCGCACATCTTTTCTACTTTCTAGAGGACGACTTGATGTCAAGGGTTGATTGGAAGCAAAGGCAAAAAAGGTGTGCATATTGATTTACGGAGGTTTTATATTGTTGAGTAATAATGGATGTGTACACGGAGAGGAAAGATCTAGAGACTCAAAAAAGGATGTCAAATTCAGGTTCGATTTGCTATTCTGGAGTGTGCGCATTGGCCCACCAGTTGATTCGTATATCCCATGCTAACAGAGACACCAGCAAAGCTGGGGGGTGTACGGCACAAATCCCGACACAGCCAAGAATTTATAGAGATAGAGAATTATCTACAGTTGGTTTGTTCGTATGGGCCAATCTTGTACTGAATTCTTTGCTCGGGGGAATCGGTGTATTTGTAAGAAATTATTCATCAGCATAGATGCAATCCGATTACCAACCCCAGAAGCCGCAGCCGCAGTGCGGGTATTCGGGTATGCAACCACTGAAATTTCCTGATCATCCACTCAGTCAGCAGCCACTGACATATCGAAAGCCTCAACATCGACCGTTCTCTATAAAACAATCTCAAATTCTGAAGTGGCTACACCTTGGCATTTAACAACTGCCCAGATCCAACCTCAAACAAGTATCCCCAAAACTGGTAAAATGAAGGAGGCAATCGTCCATCCAACCCCTGAACTCCACACCACGATCCACGAGGTCCCAATCCCAGAACCAGGGCCCGATGAACTGGTCATCCAGGTAATTGTCGCAGGATCGAATCCGAAAGGCTCGTCTTTCTCCCAATTTTCTAAATCAGTCTACTAACTGGGACACAGATTGGGATCACCTCACATCGATAAATAAATCCCTCAACAGCGGAGATGATATCGCCGGGATTGTTCGATCGTTTGGCTCAAACGTCGTCAAGACACAGGAGTTCAGAATTGGAGATCGAGTTGCAGCCTTTCATCCTATGATGGCGCCACATGGCGCGTTTGCTGAGTATGCTGTTGCACCCCAGCATACGGTGTTCAAGGTTCCAGATGGGATTAGTTTTGAAGGTCAGTTCGGTTAACCCTATTCCCGTCATGGTTTACCTGTGCCAGAATAATTGATTTACCTAAATGGAGACTGAGATTTAAGAACAGAAGCAGCAACAATCCCCTTAGTTACGACGACAGCAGCGATCTCCCTTTTCCGCCGCCAATACCTGCCAGCTCCATGGTCCCCCCGCTCGTCCACTGCTCTACCTATTCCATTAATCATCTACGGCGCCTCTTCCTCCCTCGGAACTTTCGCTATCAAGCTCGCCCGTGCCTCAAATATCCACCCTATCATAGCAATCTCTGGGTCCAGCAGCTCGCATCTGACCCCGCTTCTTGACGAATCCAAAGGCGATGTATTGATCGATTACCGTATCGGGGTAGAAGAGATGAAAAAGGCTGTCAAAGAAAAGATTAACGGGCTAGAAGCCCACCATGCTCTAGATGCGATCTCAAGCAAGGGGACATGGATCCCTGTTTCTCAAATGCTCAGCCCGTCAACTGAAAAAGAAACCAGTTATCTGAGCGTTGTATCGGGTGCGAACAAGTATGAGGAGGAGGCGATTGGAGAGGGAGTTGAAGTGGTATACACTTATTGTGGGAGTGTGCATTCTGGCTCTTATCGACCTGGGATGCCGAAGCAGGGAAATGTTAAGGAAGTGAGGAATGATCCCGAGTTCGGGTACTTGCTCTTTCGGTACCTGGCGCGGATGCTGGCTGATGGAAGGTTTAGCGGGCACCCCTTTGTAATTGTCGGGGATGGACTGGAAGGTGTAGGGAAAGGACTGAATATGCTGAAGGAAGGGAAGGCAAGGGGGAACAAGTTTGTGTTTAAGGTTGGAGAGGAGAGATTTCCGTCAAACCTTTTTGCGTAGTAAGAGCCGCTACCATCAGTCTGCGTACAACCTACTTCTAGAAAATAGGGGAGGCTCTAGTACGTTCATCCTTGGTTGCAATTGAGAATGCACCTGAAATGCTTTCGATTTAAACTCTCGGCCTTCGCTAGCAATCTGACGATTTCAGAACTCTGGTGGACATTTTCGCTATAGTTGTAGGTTTTCATAAAGTTTTGACGGGTGTTATCAACATTACTTTTTAAAGCGGGTAGGGGTCGTAGTCTACCTCTACTGTATCTGGACACATAATTATTCCCCCTTCAACCAATATTTCAATTCCGCATCGAGAACCTGTTTCCAACAAAAGCCCCAATTCTCCAGCTGCCTCATTCAAGTGGAACCACCGAACAAATCCTATCACCAGAAGTTTTAGATTAGGAACCCTATCCTTATGCTGCAAGAGTCCCATTACGTGCTCAATAGTCCAAGTCGAAGCGTTCCTCAAGGCAAGCCGCTTTATCGAGCCCGGCAACAACGCAACTAAAGGCGCAAGCTGATGTTTTCCATGATCTACAAATACCCAACGAATCCATTGATCGTAAGCCAATATGTCAATAACCTCGAGGTTTTCGAATCCTGAAAAAGACTTTATCATTGACATATCACCAAGATTGTCTCGATCACCACACCCGCTCCCGTTCTTGACATGAAGCTCTCTTAGCGGGGGTCGTAGTTGAATGAGCGTATGCGCCAGGGACATCATTATCAGTTGGCTGGGGCTGATGTCTCCTTCATGTAAATGCTCACAATGCAGCTTCTCGAGGGCTGGAAAGCACTCGAAGAACGGTGTGAAGAAGGTTTCCTTCAGATTGAAGTTCAGGAGCTCCAGTTCGATAATGGTCGTGTCAACCCTGTCGATTATCCCCCAGCGGAGATCCCACCCTCTTGCAACCAGCTTTCTCATGGATTTCAGCTTTAATAACGGCAGTAGTTGGGACGCCGAGAGTTCTCGGCTACCTTCCCGGTTTGGCACGAGTGTAAGCGTCGTCATGTGTTCGAGAGATAGCGGCGACGATATTCCTTGGTGTTGCAACTGGGCAGCTCGCATCAATGTTTCCCTAACCCAATAGTAGTTCCCGACTTGGTGGTCTACTTGAAAAATGCTGATAGGCCGATGGATGCCTATGATTGCAAGGTGGAGGTGTTGAAGATTGGGCAGATGTGCAAGAGCTAATGCTGTCGTTGCATCCCAGGATCCTTCCTCGATAGCTTCGACCCAGTCCTGCGCTTCCCGGTCGTCGGATGCAATCCCGTGAAGAATACTTCGCAAAAAAGTTTTCTGCACATTCCAACCAGAGAAGAATAAGTTGTTGACAGAGTATTTGGTGAAGGTCTTGGGTTTGTGCCATCCCTGGTATTGCCTAACGTGGGCAGCGAGATGTGGACATTCTAAGATAGTTCCAAGATATTTAAGAAGAGATCTTTCGTTAAATTCCTCGAATGTTAAGTAGAGAAGTGGCTCAGCGGAGTGATGAAAACGACTCGAGGTTCTGGAGATACTTGCTAAGCTCCAGATCGGATCTTGGAGGTCATCTTCATCCTGCGCGACGTAAGTGAATATCTTGTCATGAATTTCATTTGGCAACTCGCTGATCGACATCTTTGGTGGTGATGAGGCTCGATGAAGAGGATAGGAAATAGGTCTGAAGTTGAGGTTCGAGGTCAAGGCACCTCGTTGGTGCCTATATCAGCTGAGTTCAGCCACCCTTCACCTGCGCCAGCCTATAATTAGAGGACTAGGCACCCAACCAACACAGAACCAATAAAAGTTCTTACAGAGCCCAAAAGGTTCATTTTTGGTCGCATGCTGTTTAAGACGTCCAAGCTCCAAGTTTTTCGAAACTTCTAGGCTCAAGAGAGGGCATGTTGGTCACTCGCCGACTTCTAAACCTGAGGGCAAATTCTATTTTTCATTCATAAACACTTAAGAAATATAGATAACAAGCTGAAGTAGGTTAGAAATATGTTAGTCGAAATATTTTCAAATGGAACCGGAATGAATTTTGAGCGGGAGAAGGGGTCAACCCTTTGAAATGATGTTTTGTATTACGACAGGCTCAGTGGCCGAGAGAGAGTTGGTAAAAGTGGTAGGTAGTGTTAGGAATGAGTACTCTAGATCTCAACTAGATATTGGCTAAGCATTCTCATTGTTGTATGGCGTGAAAACAAATTCAGCCACCCCCTCGAAACCCCAAAGTAGATCCGGGGTATTGAAGCCGTTCCCTATAGCCCGTCTCTCAATACGAGGAAACGATTGTATCTCTCTGCTGTCCATTCGCGACAAGTCTTTCCATAGACTACCATTGGCAAAGTACTCGCCATGAAGACGAATGACAAACTCCAATCGCGATCCATGTGTTCAAAGTCCTGCTGGTAGCAAGCCAAGGCGAAGCACCAAAAGTGAAGATCATCCCAATAGTGCAGTTGATGACAGCAACCCCCACCATCCCCTCCAAAACCATTTTCGGATAACAGTCTTCAAGATATGCCATCCTCACATCTCCCGCATTGCCCCAACCAAACCCAATGAAGCCCAAGGCAACATATGGAACAGGCCACGACCAACCTTCCGCGCTGGCAACACCAAAAAGGAGCATACCAAGAGGGAATAGAAACGTGGCTGGTATTAGTAACCAGAGTCGCATCTCCTCTTAGATACCTCCATTCCGCCTCGTCATCCATCGCACAAATGGATCAGAGAACCATCCGCCGTACGCACAACCTAAGACAGCTCCAATCAAGCAAGGCACATTCATGGCTCCCAAAGCTGCAGTGCTGTAGTTCCAGGGCGCCTCAACCCAGTTGTCGGCTTCGGTTGTCAGATAGAAAGTGCGCCAGGCATCTTGAGCTCCCCACTGTAATCCCGCGAATCATACAGCGGGGAAAGTGAAAACTCGCAATGCGTGGAAGAGTCGTGAAAAGTATTGTTTGAAGCCAGTGCCGCGGACGTTTGGAGCTAATGTGATTAGCGCGATGCGTTGACAGTATGTTTTTCCAGCGGTTGCGACTGGGTTGGGGACAACATCTCTGGCATTCTTGAGTTCTGAGGTCATCTTCTCTTTGGTCGCGTCAGAAAATTCGTGTCCATGTGAGGTTTCCTCGGTGGAATCTGTCGTGTTGATGCCATCAACTAGAAGATGTGCATTCCGATCAAAAGCGGTCTCCTCGAGCCCAAAGAAGACGACAATCGCAAGAAGTCCACTGAGGATAGCCCTAAACCAACCAATCCATCTCCATCCCATGTTCGCAGCAATGTAGCTGGCCACTAGCGGACCCAAGTATGTTCCAGCGCTGATAGCCAACATGTAAGAACCTAGCACTGCACCACGCTGATGCTGGAAGAAGATATCCATGAGTGACAGCTGCACATTTGCTTCGGAACAAGATTCAGATGCTCCAACGAATAGCTGGTTCCAGATTGCATCGGAGGTCTTATTACCCATTGCAAACTAGATCCCGCCAATTACTCCCAGACACAAGCATACTAGATATGAAATTCGGCGTCCATACAACCATACAGCTGGAGAAATCAAGAGTGTCCAGTATCCAATCCCAATGAACAATACGCCAGCTCCCGCATTGAACGATGCATAGCTTATTTCCAACTCATCGTTTTCTTGGAATTGAGCTGAGCCAGAATCGTTCGTTGTCGCTCCGGTCAAGGCGGTGATGAGAAGAAGGAGAAGCGCATGCCAGCACTTCCGCTTGAATGACCAGTGAAGAAGGTCATCCGGATGATCCGTCGGTTGAGGAGCGAGGACGATATCGCCGTGTTTCTTGAGCTCTGTATGTTGGGATAACACAAAACCATGTTCGTTGTAGAGGAGTTTCGTGCCGGGAAGGAAATCCTCTGTTGACATGGCGAGGAACTAAGGAAAGTGAGTCTTACAGACGAAACTGAATGTTGGAGGACGAGATCTGCAACCAAGTACGTGCTGCAAAAGCACCAAGAACTAATTGGCGTTGGTCTGGTGTATTAATAAAGACATCTAGAAAGAGGATTGGGGTCGGGACGGCGCACCCCCCGCTCAAGCTCAAGCATCCTAGAACGTTATCAGCAAGTCATCATGATATCAGGAGATGGATCAGGCAATTCGGAACCGAGATAGATGCTGATGAGTCTGTGTTCTATGATAACTTGAATGACACTAAGCCCCAAGTACGCGCGGCGACAGCCAGGGTGGGATAGCTCCCCTAGGAGTTTTACAGGCTCCCACCATCCATAGAAACTTGACCGAAGCTTGTTCATGGCCAAGCGTGCTTGAACGACTGCCACGAACTGTACTCAGGTCTTCCAAAACTATCAGGTTCGAAGATTTGAAACGCTAGTTCTCGCATCAAAACCCGGACAGCGGCTGAAAAGTAGGCCTCCTTAAGCCTCACTATTGAAAAGAAAGCCACCATAGCATCCCGTTGAGACCCAACTCTTATCTGTTGCCCCGCATTTAAAATGGAGAAAGTGTTATAGCAGGTAGAGCTGGAGTCTCGCTTTTTAGTTTCGAGCCTGGTTCAAACGAGAAAGCGGTCCTGCGTCGAGTTCTACATGGGCTGATAAGAGATCTTAGGCTTTTAGCCGATAGACAAAAGATAAAGGAACGAGGAGTCAAAGGCCGGCTTCGCGGCTGGACCTTCTACGTTCGGCTAAGGTCAGCCGCTGCAGATAAGCTTTCAAGGGGAAGACCGTCCCGGCCGGGCTTTCCGGGTTCGGCAAGGTGGATTGAGAAGCTTTTAGGTTTCGGATACCGTGCTGCTCCACAGCATCGCATCAAGTTATCATATGATACGAATGGTCCACTTGAAACCTGTTATGGGGAGCTTCTGGCTTCGAATTATTAGAAGTTTGTGAAGAGATGATACAGACCCCTCGTGGTAGTTTATCTACCCCACCTTTGCCACATCACTAGCTGCATGCACTCATGTGATACTTTTACACACAGCAGAGCTTTCCCTGGAGCTTCAGTTTCGAGAGTGTGACAGTTGCGGGTATATTCTTGTGGTTGAGTTGCGCATACATTCCAACGGTCCTCCCTTCTTTCTTTACACGCAAGTTGCCAATACCTCTACCCGCAAGTTCGCAACCATGGCCACTCTGCTTCCCAGCATTCGCGAGACTTACTTCGGGGTTAAAGCACTGCTCCAAACTGTCGCAGAAGACAACGCAGAGCTGACCTCCTTACAAGCTCGGCTCAATGCCGACCCCGGGATTCCCGTATCAAATCCAACCACCTCTTTCTGGCTAAAGAACACCCCATTTCTTGATCTAGTCGACAAGCGCTCCAAAACGCTACCCAAATATGCAGACATTGTTATCATCGGGTCAGGCATTACTGGTACGAGTGTTGCACGCACAATTCTGTCAGAATGCGCGTCCATGGGCATAAATAGGCGCGTAGTTATGCTGGAAGCAAGACAAACTTGCAGTGGAGCAACGGGAAGAAACGGGGGGCATATTAAATGCACCCCACATGAGTCGTTCTGTGAATATAAGGACAGATTTGGAGTTGAGAGAGCAAGAGCGCTGGTGGATTTTCAGACTTCTCATCTTCCAATTTTGGTTGATCTCGCAAAGCAGGAAAGCTGGGATTTGGCTGAAGCAAGGCAGGTAGAGACTTTGGATGTCTTCTACGATGAGGAAGTTTGGCTGGATAACAAGCGTAAAGTGGAAGAGTTCAGGAAAGGAATGCCAGAGGGGACTAGAGATACGTTTGTTTGGGAGAAAGGTGAGGCACATGAGGTAAGGTTTACCCCTTGAACAGGATTATCTGCATTGTTCCTAACCCTTCCTGTGGCAAAGAAATATAACTTAGGTGGCCATGCTTACGGAGCAATAACCTACCAAGCAGGCGCAATTTGGCCCTGCCGCCTCGTTACATGTGCGCTGGACTCTTTACTCCGAACCTATCCTTCTGATTTCACTCTCGAAACTCATACATCAGTTGAAAATATCAGCACGACGAGAAACCCCAACCAACCGTTCATTGTTCATACTTCACGAGGGGACATTCTTGCATGTCATATAATTCATGCAACCAACGCACATACCGCCAGACTTGTGCCAGGCCTTCGTGGAAAACTATTCCCTGTCCGAGGGACGATGACTGCTCAACGTCCAGGAAAATCTTTTCCTAAATTAGATGGATCAAGATCATGGTGTCTGATCAACAAGAAGGGCTACGAGTACGTAACTCAGCGTCCGGGACAAGTTGACTCTATCGACGGCCTAGGTGGCGAGATTATGATTGGGGGTGGCATGATACAATCTGGACGGAAAGGATTTGGGGAATTTGGTGTCGCGAGTGATGCTGAGACGAATTATTTGACTGGGTGCCACTTGGGAGGAGTGTTGCCAATGGGCTTTGGTCTTGAAAACTGGGGCGAGGATGCTCCCGGGGGAAGAATGAAGAATATGTGGTCTGGTAGTTTGGGACTTACTGCGGACATGATGCCTTTCGTGGGGAGGTTGGAACCAAGTTTGACTGGACGAACGCCCGTGAAAGCAAATTTATCCAAAGATGCAGTCGGGCCCGTAACACTTCCTGCGGAATGGATTTCAGCGGGTTATAATGGGGAAGGCATGGTTAATGCGTGGCTGTGCGGGGTGGCCTTGGGTTTGATGGTACTTGGGAGAGAAGACATCTCGGCGGCAAAGACATCTGGGAGGCCACATGGGAAACTGGATGAATGGTTCCCAAAGGAATATATATGCTCCCAAGCACGGGTTACGAATGCGAGCGTTTATGAGCTCTTGGAGACAAGATAGATGGACTTATAGACGCAAAAATGCCTAGCTGTCCCAATTTAACGAAAACTATCTATAAGTGTTGTCCCCTTTCGGCTCTCCTAGTTTCGTCCACTGCTGCAGCTTCAATATAAAAGGATAATACTTCAACATTTCTAAACAAAATAATATAATAAATTGATAGAATGCGTCACTATGATAACGTAGTTGTCTATCTTTTATCGGAGGGGTTTGAATCCAATCTCTTATCCAGGAAACCTTGAAAGTGTTCCGAGGGACTTCGTTGAGAAAATAGGCGAGACGTTCGGGGGAAGCTAGAGGGCTCAATAAGCTATTGCTCGCTAAACAACAGCGCCTGGGTCAGTTACCAACCTGCAGACTAGGTAAAGTCCGTGTTTTTAGGGCATTTCGCTAAGAAACGAGCCCCATAACTATTTTGGACGCTTTCATTTTATATTCAGAATTGGGGTTAAAGGCCTTCTAAACCCAATCTATCCTTTTTTATTGTGTGCGCTTAAATTATACGAGGTTTTAGTCTGTAGTTGTGAAGAAACTGCGAAGTGAAGTGGGCGACTTTGGTTTTGTGATGCCTGAAAACATCGCTAAAAACACGGACTTTTGTCAGCAGGCTCGTTAGATAGGTAACTTTTCCAGGATAGCGGTACAATCCTTTGCGGCTCGGTCGTGCTTTATAGCATATTGACTCTTGCGAAGTTGAAGTATTGATATAGGCACGTGGGTGTATCTTGCGCGACTGTGGTCTTGGTGCAAGGACTTCGCTTCTTTACGGGGAAGAACTAAGATCTGAGCCTGTTCTAGGATAATTGGTTTTTGTGCAGTAATAGCAATAGATAAACTAAAGTGAATTTTTGGCAAGGAGTTCCAATAACTACTGAGGCGAGTGAACTGTATCTATTCCACCCGCTAGTTTTTCAATGAGCCGCGCCATTGCTGCTCTTAGAAAGGCAAAAATCCAGAATCTTCTCGCCTCACACATATTCAAATTTATAGCCTTTATCCAACTTCACAACATACCAATCAAACCTAAATTGCATACCCACACGAATCGTAACTTTATTTCAAGGATCCATATCTATTTTTTTATTTTTTTTGATCCGCCTCATCATTAGTCGTGATGGCTAACTACGGTCCACGTGGGAAAGCTAAGAGGTGTGATCTCCTTACGGAATCTCATCAAGTTCATCGACCGCCTGCATGGGATGAAACATCACTAGAACAACTCCCTCTAGAGCCCCCATACCTGGCATCGGCAGATTACTGCCGGTCTCCCCAATAGTTCTACATTATCTCGGTAGCCTCCCCCTCCTCCTGAAAGTCGGGACCCACCACTTCACCTCAGGCCTGCTATGAATAGAAACGATACAGCTGAGAGAGCTGATAAACATAGACTCACTTCTCGGAAAGGAGGCGGCGCCATGAATACTGTGCCAAGTGAGCGAATTATGTTGGAATGATACGGCTGATACCTAAATATACGTTATTGGAAGTGTTGGAGAGATTTATAGAGGCTTGTCTTGTGAAGTTGTGAGTCAGAACTTAGGACCCGGAGGAAAGGGTTCACAAGTCACGATCAAACATCAACCTGGACTGATAAAAGAATGACCTCGAGTTTCAAGCTCATGGAACCTAAAGTAAGAAGGAAGTTCGGTTTGGCACTTGCCATCTGGACTGGCATAAATCGATCCCAGGACATTAGACTGAACATTTGTGGCTAATTGATTCTGAATTGATTCGTGGTCTCATTTCATTTAAAAAAAAGTCTCGAGCGCGACGAAAACCAACGCGAAAAAGCGAGTAAAGAAACATTGGTATCATGCCGTTCACCCCCCCCCCCCCCCCCCCCCCCCCCCCCCCCCCCCCTTTTCCCATCCCATTCCTTCGTTATGTTCGTACAGTAATTGCGCCTTCTAACCACCACCACCTCCGCATCCACCGCCACCTCCCCCACCGCAGCCTCCTGACCCACCGCATGCGCCTCCCATACCTCCGCCTGACTACGGAAAGTTAGTTCCAGCCCATATTGAAATGGCAAACATGAGGGGGAACTTACACATCCACCGCCCGTCCCACACCCACCCGCGCCACCACATCCTCCAGCCGCAACGCCACCACTGCAAGTCCCCGCAGCACAAGCACCTGCCATTCCAGCACCCATTGGCATACAGTAAGGATCGCCGTACGCATAAATACCTGGATAATAGCCATACGCCATCCAGGGTCCATACATCATGTACGGATAACCCCACGGGCCGTAATAGTATGCGTCTCTACTCGGAACAGGCCTGCCCTTGTTTCTAGCCCGCTTGCAGGCTTTCTCATAGGCGGTGTCGAGCTCTTGTTGACGCCGGGCGCGCATGGCGTCGTATACTCTGGCGCGAGTGGAAGACTCGAGGGCCTTGACGGCGGAGTGGGCGCTGATGTGTGCAGAATTATCCGGAGGACAGAGCTTGGCCGCACCAGAATCGTAGAATTTGTCGGCGACTTTTTCGTGTGTTGAGGTGCCGAAAAGGCGTCCTGCGCTGGAGATGTGCTTGGAGCGAATAGCTGTGAAAGTGAGTAGTGGACAGGAGCGAGGGGAGGGGAAATTTACCTTCGCAGTACCAGCAGGTGCATTCAGAGTAGACGCCCTGGAAGAGCTTTTGGTAGGTCTTGCTGGTCCACTCAAAGCTTGTGTTCAGTTGATCTTCATCCATCTTGTCATCGTGGTCAATGAACTTCTTGCACTTCTCGACGGTGTAATCGTAGTATGACCTTGGTGACAGCTGATGTGTGTGCCATCCGAGATCCACGTCCAGAGTTGGGACTGCAACATGAAGTGGATAGGTTGCCATTATCTGAATAAATCGCTGATACTTCAACATAAGTCGCTTCATTGTTTCCTTGGCTGCAGGACTGTGAAGCCAGTCGAGACTGTACATCTTATCGACGAAGACGCTCTGGCGGATTACAGCACCTCCAAGCTCAAGAGCAAACACGGATGAATTCTCCCAGTATCTTGACATCATCTTGCGGACTGCTAGTCGCTCTTGACGTCTAAGAGCACCACTTTCGAAAGCCGATTTACTGTTGACTTTCTTGACGGTATTCTTGTCTTTGATACTGTTTTCGATGAGGTCTCTAACATCAAGCATGGTGGGTTTGCGATAGTAATTGGGGTTGGTCAATTCCAAGACTTTGGATCGGAGAGCCATGCGTATGAGTCGATTTGGGAAAGTGTTGAAATGGGTAAAAGCTTCGCTTGCAATTGGACCGTCTGGACCGCCAGTTGTTGTTGACAAGATTGTACCACCCAGAGGCCAGTCTCTCAAGATGAGATTCTCGGAATCCTTCTTGAACTTGGCAACTCGGAGAAGATCTTGGTTGATTTCTCCACCGCATTTATGGCAGATGTAGGAGAGATCTCGGTCTCCGTATCCTGTGCCAGTCATTTCCTGGAGCCTGGACTCGTTAGCGAATATCCTGCCCGTAGAATGTGAAGCCCTACTCTGAAATCGAGGGCTTCTCTCCTTGACTGCATGTTGTCCATGGGATTTCGAGCTGCTGGTTACATCGTGGACACTGAAGGTTCTTGACAAGAGAATCCTGTGCATTGGTCCAATGGCGCCCCGTCTTCGCAGTCCAGGCTTTCTTTCCCTCGTCAGGAACTTCATAGTTGAAGCTGGTGTCGATTGCAGCATTGACTGCGGGCCATGGTAGACCAGTTGCCCATAAGTCTTTCAACCCGAATCTGACACAATCTTCTAGGTAATTTCGAGGATTCAGCATAAAAGCGTGCCATACCATCAGAACATCTACCGGAGTTAGCGTATTTATCTTCTTGAGAATTAAAAATCCCATACCAATTGGAGGCAACATGCTCGTCGTCCATTTCTGGACCCGTCCCCTCTTCGTGAATTCCATAAACTTTAACGAAGTCGCCACCATCTCCTTCCCTTCCAACCTCCTGGCTTCTTCTCCATAGCATAGAACGTTCAGCCACCAATCTTCAAACCGCTCGACAGCTCTGGCAATAAACAACACCCATCTCTTCTCCCTCATCTTCGCCAACGACTCGTCTCGATTGTCCAGCAGTTCGCATTTCGCATCCCAAAGATTGAACAATCCATCTGTGTATCCAACGTCTTCTTTCAGCGCATGGAATGTGGAGAGGAGCTTGAGATGTACGAGGCAGGAGTCGGTGTCTGGGAAGGCGGGCGGGGCATCGGAGAGTCTGAGGGAAGAGAATGCTGCGCTGAGTGCTTCTGCAGTTGGGCCATCGATTGGCTCGGGGGCTGCAGGGAGGGGATCGGTGACGGCGTAGGTGGGGAGAGCTTCGTTGTTGTCTGGAGAGTCGCCGTTGCCATTGCCATTTAAATTGGCGGCGGCAGCAGTAGCAGCAGCAGCATTCTCTTGCTGCTGGTCAGGAGAGGTCCCGTTACCATTCGACTTCTCCCCCTTCAAAGAGTCCTTGAACTTGGAGAGACCGAGAGGCATGATGGAGCTGGTTGATCAAATCATGCGGTGGTGGTGGTGGGGTATTGGTATCCGTAGAGATCAAACTGGTGAATGGCCGCAGGCGAGACAGAGATCTGTGTGGTGTCTGGTGTCAAGAGGCGGAGGGGAGCTTATCGCGCGAGGCGAAGCTTTATATCAATCGGTCTCGCCTCCACATTCGCCCGGCCATGTGGTTGCTGGATGTCAGCTTGGCGACATGCGGTGCTGCGGTGTGCAGTGGTGCAGTGCTACGGGGCTGAGTCGAGAGTCGAGAGTCGCGAGCTGCAATGCGGGCCTGAAGCGGAGATCGGAAGCAACAAGCCCCGCCTGCAGAAGGCCGCTAGAAGCGCGATGGAAGCGCGAAAGGCTAGTACGCAGGCTAACCTCGTACTAAAGAGAGCTCCGCCCCTGTCATGCGACGCCCCGCCCACCCAATAAGCTTTGCGGGAATGTGGCAGCCTTTGCCCAGTCTTTTGCCCAGCCTTGCCCAGAGATGCTTGACTTGCAGAAGCTTTATGAAATGAGCAGGGTAGCCGAGCTGTGCACACCTGCAGAAACTCTCGGTCCTGAGTTCTGGTTGAAGACCGCTCCGTGCCGCTGTCACGTGCGGGACTCTGTGGTGGTGTTGAAGGGATAAGTCTCGGTCCGATTGATGGCTTGAATGCGCCCCCGACTTTTGTGCAGTTGCAGCCAACTTCCTCAGAATCAACACATGTGGAGGACGCAAGCTAGTGTCCCCCTCAGAGCACAGCATATTCTTACCCGAGATTGTTCAAAGGCTTTTCAGGCAGCAAAAAGATGGCTTAGAGACCATCCGGGGCGGTGCTGTTGAGAAGGTTCGCCGAACCGTTCCAATCACCGGCTCCTTCTATTGAAGCTCCTGGCGGCCGTGATATTCGAGAAGTGCAAAAATGACAACTTTCCTGTCACACAGGTCCAGTAAGCATTGTCATCGATTGTGGAGGCCTTAGTTCGCGGATCCACATGTTCTCAAGCCTTGTTTTGGAGGCACTTATTGAAAAGGTGGCGAAGTGGAAAATCTAAGCGAGATCTCTCAAGAAAAGGGGGTAGCGAGTTCTACTGTATCCCCTGGTGCTATACAGATACACTATCAAGAGCTTGAAAGGAAACCGTGAGGCTAGCATATTATACACTTACTATAGGAAGTCCAGTAAGCAGAGAAGTGGGAATCATGCTGTGCGTGCTGGGAGATGTGGAGTTGTGCCAGCTTCCCGAAGCCAGTGTTCTCAACCTAGAGAACTTTTAGACCGCTTGGACACAAAACAGTTGGAAATCGTCGATCTCGCACTGCATGTTCCAGCCATTGGCTGACGTACTCGATTTCCAAAGGAATATTGCAAAACTTCAAGTCTGCATGCTTGGGTAAGGGAGAGGTTTCATCCCATCTTGAGACTTGGGGCAAAAATAGTTCCATCACGTGGCACTTCGCGTCGCCAATTTATCCCAAACAAACTCTCCAACTTTTCCCACCCTTTCATCCCATTTTCCACCACCGCATCGCGCTCCATGCAGCATTCTACATGTTCTTCGTTTCTGTGCTCCGTTATGCACTATGTATTCTAGTGCCACTCTCCTTTCTTCTTTCCTCTTACCTGTACCTTTACCCTGTATTCCATCTCTGCGCGTTTCCCGCCCCTGAAGACCCTCCCAAGTCAGCATTTCTGAACACCCTCCGACAGCACACCCTCTCCTCCCAAAATTCCAGCAAGATAGCACCCTTCCGACTTCTCACGCTCGGCGACCCCCAACTCGAAGGGGACTCTTCCATCCCCGACGCAGAAGCTGCCACCTTTCCCAACTTCTCGAAGTTCCGGAGAGATGCTCTGCTCCTTGATGGCACGAAGCACAACCCTCTGCAACGACTACGGCATAGTCTGCACGATCTAATCGATTTCCTCCTCGACGATATTCCCAAAGCTCTCGAAGTCTACCGCAAGCGTCTCGATCACATTGGCAATGACTATTATCTTGGACACATATACCGAACGTTGCATTGGTGGACGGATCCTACACATGTCACGGTCCTTGGGGACTTGGTTGGGAGTCAATGGATAGACGATGATGAATTCGAACATCGCGGATGGAGATACTGGAATCGTGTCTTCAGGGGTGGAATTCGCGTCTCTGAGGAGGTTGCCTCACAACCCGCGGAAGACTTCCAGGACACCATCATACTTGGGGATGATGCTGAGGCGTGGAAGAAGAGGATCATAAACGTTGCTGGGAACCACGACATTGGATATGCCGGTGATCTGTCTCAGGAGCGAATGGCCCGGTTCACACGGGTCTTTGGGAAAGCAAACTACGAGCTACGATTTCAGCTTCCTGTTAACTCGACGCCGGCCACAAACACATCGAGAAAGGTTACACTGGAAGGTGGGGATGACAGTGAAGCAGATGGAGAGGAAGAGAAACCAGTCCCCGAACTCCGAATCGTAGTCCTCAATGACATGAACCTCGATACTCCCGCTGGCTCCACGGAACTGCAAGACGAAACCTACAATTTCCTCAACCAAATCATCACCACCTCGCACGATGTAACGCGGCCCGCCCACTTCACGCTTGTCCTAACACATATCCCCATGTACAAAAAGGGCGGGATCTGCGTCGACGGGCCGTTCTTCGATTTCTTCGACGGCGAATTTAGCGACGGCGTCAAAGAGCAGAATCACCTGTCTGCGGATGCATCGAAAGGCTTCCTGGAGGGTATCTATGGCATGAGCGGCGATTCCTGGGTCCCAGGCCATGGATTCGGGAGGAATGGAGTGGTGTTGAACGGACATGATCACGAAGGCTGCGATGTGTACCATTACATCAACCAGTCGGCGACTCCGGAGCGGTATTGGCAGGCCGCGTCATGGGCTGAAGCTGAATCGGGAAGATACGACGACGAAGCGGGGGTTGTTGGATTGAGAGAAATTACCGTGCGAAGTATGATGGGTGATTTTGGCGGCAATGCCGGGCTGCTGAGTCTTTGGTTTGATGAAGAGACGCGGGACTGGAGGTTTGAATTTGTGAATTGTAAATTGGGGACGCAGCATATTTGGTGGGTGGTGCATATCCTGGATCTGATTACATTCGGCGTTGGGATTGCGTACGCTGGCTTCGTGCTCGTGCCAAAAGTTCTCCCTCCAGCGCAACAATTTGGGAAGGAGCCTAAGAGTAACGAGCATGCGAAGCGGCCGGAGAAGAAGGAGAATGGGACAGTACATATGCCGAAAATCGACGGTAATCTCGACTCTCCAAGAGCAGGAAAGAAAAGTTTTTAGGGGAAAAAGAGCAGGGCAGCCATGAGTGGCGGGAGCCCAAGTCAGAATAGCTCGATTGTCTCGAGGAGTTAGTTGGTTCTATACCCATTGTACGAATATTGTATCCTCAAACCTGGTCGGCGTTATCAATACTTGAATTCTGATCCAATTGAAACGGCCAAGTGGCTATGGTCTTGCCTACGGCAAATTAAAACATTTGGCGTCGTTTTTTGGTCGAATTTGGAGTATCTACTCTCTATTTGTTAGTCTGGATTAAAAAACTCGTGCTTCGAATGGCGTCGACCGTTTGGACTAGGCCTCGAGCCGCAACCATTCACTACCGCTCGAGCACAGCTCAAAACCACATAAAAAGATCCTACTCCGCCCGGCTCGTACTTTCTGTCCAGAGCATCGTTCTTGCTTTATTGGTCTTATTTGCTCTTGCCTTCGGCGTAATGGTAGACAATCAGGGGAACGCAATCGTAACTGAGATCGTTGAGAATGATGGGAACAGTTTTCGGCATTGGAACGGGTTTCTAAGGAAAATATGGTTATCTATCATCGACTTCTTGCCGGACTTGTGTCTGACGTTGCCAAGTATCTCAGGCGAATGAACAAGGAACGGCCACCAAAGATCAAAGGCTCTCCCTTTCCCCTCTGGGGCTGCCATCAGCAAGTTCCCAAAGTTTTCCTTTTGCTCCTCAACAAAAATCTCTCAGACTCCATCTACTTACAGCGACTACTGCGGGATGCTTCACTTGCTCAATCAAACCAAACTTGAACAAGAAAAGATGGTGAGAGATCGCCTGCGCCAGAGTAGCAAGAAAACATGCTAAGGGCTATCTCTACAGACATAACTTCTCCACTGACCAGTACATCATCAAGCGACGTCGTTTGGGGCTATACACTACTACGCAGCTGAATCAGCCCTCCAGATCAACGCAAGATGAATACACACCACAGGGGCAGTTATACCGCACCGAAACGCTGGCACGGATATACAATGGGAGGCTCCCTTCGTACGGAACACAGAGTCTATTTCAGAATCAGTTTGATGTCCCCCTTGTCGTGGGAGATGGACTGGCGTCCACATCTCAAGGCTCGCACGAAGAACCCCACACGACCATTCCAATATTGGCAATTTCTAGACTCTGTGCTTTGTCACGCTAGACATATATTTCGAGGACACGGCAATTGCGCTTATTATGGGAGGGTTTCTAGATGTTCGCAATGCAAAATCGAGTTCCGGATTCAAGGTAGTGGGGTTGAAGGTGGGAAGTGGTGGGTTGAGATGGTCTGCGGGAAGGACTTTGGTGTGGGAAAGAGTCCGTTTGCCGGGAGCTGGAGTGACCATACAGTGGCGAGTTGGCCGAGAAGGATGACTATTCGCAGATGGGAGGAAACATCAAATCGAGTTTGAGGAGGTGGCTGGAAATCGCGACCGTTTGTGAGGGGGGGTTGTGGCAAACGGCCGAGGGTTATTGGTTTGAAGTTCTTTTCCTCGACGGCTTAGAGAGACGAAAAAGATTGTGGCAATAGATTTGCATTTCTTTTTAACCATCCTTATTATATTTCTAAATTGGAATTAGGATTTTTCATACCGGTAGAAGTCTAGCTGCAAGTGCAGTGAGTCCATGGCCACTTTTCTCCCCAAAACCACGAACTACAGTAGATTGCGTTAGGCGATTTCCATTAATAGTCGGACTTAACGTCGCGCTAAAAGGGCCCTTCCCTTTAGTCGGGGAGAGCGAGTTGGCCCGCGAAAGCGAGATGGCCCGCGCCAAACTAAAATTTGTATGCGACCGTGAATAATTATATTGCATTATATAACAAATAAACCTCCATTTTATATATAATTAAAGATATAATATTTTATTACTTTAATGCTATGAAATCTGCATTTTGAGCTATTAAATTAGTTAATATTACTAATCTGAGTAATAAAGAATATAGAATTACTTCTCTTTTATTAATTTTATTATTTATATTCTTTCTTATCTTTTTTATTTCTTATTTAACCTCCCAGATTCCTCTAATATTGCCCTTATATATAATTAACTAAAAGGATTTCTCTTTATATAATAAGTATTACGAAACCGGGTCTCTGGGCTTGAAAAGCAAGGTAAAGTGGCTCTTAATCCGAGGATTCTAAACTAAGGAGGGGGGCTCGTAAGTACAGGAGCTTTGGTGTTCTAAATACTAGCTAGCCGCATGCGTTATTACGGTTATATAATACTAAATTTACTAGTAAAGCAGTAGAGCGTAATAAATACTAGATAATATTTAGTTATAAATTATTTATAAAGGCTTTATTTAATATAGAGATTAATATAATAGCTTGTAATAGGCTTTGTTTTAATTATATAAAGTTTTAAAGTACTTTTTAATTATTAGAAAAACTACTTTTAAAATAAAGCTATCTAATTATCTTTTATTTATATTTATATTATATAATTATATATTTTTTGCTTTATATAATAGCAGGAACAGAGTAATAGAACGAGGCTTAAAGATTAATAATTCCAATATTTTAAGGATTTAAAGCTAAGGGGAAAAGGAGTGAGGTGTGGCAGTGGATAAGTAGGTATGGCCAAGACTACTAAAATCCCGAGCTTTGGAAGCGAGCTTGGTTTGAACCATAGCTTGGAACCTTAGCTGAAACCAATCCCTTTGACTAAAACCACGTCTATATCAACCATATAATACTAGCCGTTATACTTTATAGCTTCTTTTCCTTTATTAATTACATATAATATCGCATACTAAATTAATGCCTTGTATTAATTAGAATATAAGATCTTATTCTGGCCTTCTTATTACACTTTTCCCTTCTTTATTCTCTTCCTTTCTTTTTATTATACTTTCTATATAGCATCTTTGCTCTTAATATTATATATGCATATAGTAGTAGTAGAACTCTCCTCTGGATTCTTCTTTAGGAATTGAATAGCCTTATAAAGCTTATCCTTCTCTGGTATATTATACAGAAGCGTATTAGTGGATAGGTTACTCAAGCGAGTTGTTGCAATTGAATTGGACAAATTTTGTGGGCTGGTAGTGCCCAAATTAATTTATTTTTATTATGGGAGTTACATACAAATTCCAAATTTACGCGTTTGGTACAGGCCAACTCGCTTTCCCCGACTAGAAGGGTTCACTGGCCTACTGCCCAAACCACTTAATTGCCCAATTAAAAAAACTTAATATTTAATTAATGCCTTAATAAAATTATAATTCCTATTAAATACTAATACTTTATAGTATTCTTAATTCTCTAATAGTTATATATTACTTTAAAATTATATAATATTACTAAAATTATTTATTTAATAATATTTTAATATTTTTCTATTAATTTTTATCTTGCAATTCTTACTCTTTACTAATTCCTATATATTTAATTAAAAATCTTATATAATATTCTAAATACTTTAATAATATATAGCTTAATATAAAAGAATATATTAAAAGCTTTTTTGTATTATTATAATAACTTTTCTTATTGAATTTTCTTTGAAATAAGAATTAGTAACTTATATTTAGTAAAGTAATAAGCCTAAATTTAGGTATCTAATTCTTGGGGCAAAGAATTGCTTATATGATATAAATATTTAATTATAATTTAAATGCCATTTAATTTTTCAGTTATAAATACTTATATATTAATTAAATTCGCTATTATATAATAAACCTTATACCTTCTTTTAATTGGCTAGCTGCTTCTTGCCTTACTAATAAACGTTATCTTGCCTTTATATCTTATATCTTTGGTTTTGCTCCATTAATTCGATCTCAAAGGGTTTCGTATGCAATTTCATACTCTCTCGCGCATTTCCCAACGGATTTAGTCTTCTTATAATCGAGATATTATTATGAGCCGTCTATAATCGCACGCTTTCTGAGAGCTTGTTGGGATTATTCGCGAATTTGATATAGTGATTTTTCTTTACAGACATGTTGAGGGGCTAAAAAATCTTTAGAAAACAGTTGATTTGATAGTAAAATATTATGTGGGTGTTGAATTATGATTTTTGGAAAACAGCGATTTTGGGCGGTTGGGCGGTCTGGGCGGTTGGCCAGTGTAACCTTCTAAAGGGAAAGGCCCCTTTAGCGCGGTGTTAAGTCCGACTATTAAGTGACAGCTCTCAAAGCTTTCTTGCGATTGGTTTCTCCCACCAAGGCTGCACGTACCGTCTCCCGTGCGGTCCACCTCAAACACTGCTTCAATTGTGTTTCCGTTTCGAAACATCCCCCACTATTCTACATCCAGTCTCGCGCGACGCAGGAAACTCGCCATCTGTGAACTCGCATCCGGGATGATCTGAGAAAGAATGTTCCGAATGTCATGCAGGCGAATCTGATAGGCTCTCCGTGATATCCTGATGATCTTTCGATGGGGAACTGTACTCCCTTCAACGGCCAAGTTGTGCCAGTGCGACTTGCGGCTCCATTATGCTGTCCATCGGCCCCGACTATCCGCCGTTTCTTGTAAGATATGCCCAGGGGCTTGGCTGCAAGTCTTTCGAATTCTTCTTTTGATGGCTTCTGGGGATTCTTTGTTTGTTAATGTCACCTCGAAGTCCTAATATTGTTATTTTTGCCTTTGGCTATCAAAGATTTTAATTTATACCCCAATTATCAGCGATCGGTCTTCGTTCTCGTTCCACACCACCACGCCGCCACGCCGCCATATCGATCATATAATTATTGAAGAAAGGCAATGACTGTACGGGTACTAGACCCACCATGACAATAGTCCTGTCCACCAACGGGGAAGGGAACGAGGGCCCGGGATCGAATCCCAACGTGCAAGTTCAGGAACTCGGTCCAGCGATCTTCATCCCATCCCAAGCAATCGGCAATGTCGTCGCAGAAACAAATGATCTGCTTGCCGGCCACAGAGAATGGTTGAACAGTCTTCCTCAACGAGCCGAACTGGAACAGCATCAGATCAAAGCACGGGATGCTCCAGCTAGTAAGTCTTCCTGGCTTTGTCACGTTGCATTTTTAGAAAATAGCAAAATTCCCTGTCCATCGAAGCTATCTGATTTATCTGCATCAAAACTTACACCTCCAGGTCTCGTCACCCCAGCACCATCTCTCAGCAAACGTTCTCCGGTCCCACAACCACAAGCAGCGATCCTCCCAGAATGTTCTGGCTTCGTGGCCTCCGCGAGTGCATCCGGCTCAAATATTGGCTTTGCATCCGCCTCCACGAAATTCGCCATTTCTCTCTCCTCCATCTCCTCAACAGCATCCGCAACAATCGCCTCTCTCCAAGCACTCTCTGCTTCCCAAAGTACCGCACTACAAAGCGCATCCACAGCCCTGACATCAGCGTCATCAGCTCTTGCTTCCGCGAATTCGTCTGCTATTGCAGCTTCAAGCAGTGCAAAATCCGTTCAATTTTCGGCGGCGAGTGCAATTTCAGTTGCACAGGCAAGCGCGCAGAGTGCTATTATCAGTGCTCAGAGCAGTGCAAATGCCGCTGTGCAGAACGCGAACAATGTTGCTAATGCCGCCCTGGGTACTCTTTCCTCCCCATCTTTCAACCTCACTTACTGATGTGTACGCAACAGCAACGGCAACCTTCGCAATAACTCAGGCCCAAGCTTCCATCTTAGGCATCAATGCACAAGCGCAATCCAAAATCCAAGTCTCAATGAACAATCTCAAATTCGCCTTAATCCTTACGTTTTCCATCCTCGGTTCCTCGTTAATTACCATACTCATCATCTACCTCCTACTGAGCCTTCGTCGTCGTCGCCAGAAGCGGAAAGAGCGGAAGAGAGAGGAGTTCAAGGAGAAGATTGATGTGAAGAGAGGCTCGGATGATAGTGCTATGCCTAGTTTAAGCGAGTTCCCTCTACCAGTGAATAGGAAGAATTGGAATGAGACTGGTGCTGGTGGCGAGCGGGGCAGGCCTTCGTCTGAGGTTGTTCCTACATGGAGAGTAAACAGCAGCCAAGGCCGAAAATCTGCCGAATTCCCATTCCCTGGTGCTGGAAATAGCAGGAAGACATGGAGCGCCAGCGCCGATCGAACAGCTGTTGATGGGGGTGAAGCAATGAATGGGAGAGCAAGGAGGATGGCGGAAGGCGAGACTCAGAGAGCGAGGCCACCAGGGAGTCTTAGAACGTTGACGTATGATGCGGATTTCCCGGATCAGCCACCGCGGTTTGGGAGTTGGTTGGGGGACTTGAGGAAGAATGAGGACCTGCTGGAGATTAAGGTGACGAGGAATAGCAGTACAAGTCGGAGGAGAGACAAGGATGGGGGTAGTGAGATTGGGACTGCGTTTTGAGAACGTACTTCTGAAGTATAATAGCATTTCTTTCTTGTTTTGTATTAGTAATTTAATTCTAATTCTTTAATTTTTATTTTATATTTAGTTAATAAATATATTACTTAAAAGTATTTATTGTAATATAATTTCTCAATTAGATATAGCGCAATTACTTCTCTTAATTAGGCTTTATATATTTATATTTAAAGCTTTAATTAATTCTTTTATCCTTAATATAACTTCTTACTTTACTTGATTTATATATGTTACTTATAAGCCTGGCCTTATATTAATATACTTTTAATTAGTATATTATAAAGATATTTAAAAGTTTATTTAATTAATTTATAAACTAATTTAAAAATTAAATTAAATTTACTAGTAATAATATATATTATATTAATATTATTTTTATAAAAAAGAATTATAAAATTATATTTATAAATTTATTATTAATATAATATTAAAATATAAGTAAAAAGTTCTTAAATTAAACTTAAAAAATATATATTAAGCTATTATTAGTATAGCTATTTCTCTGGGAGTTACGTATATAGTTACGGGATACGGGATACGGGATATAGGTAATAGAATATAAGTAATGGGATATAGGTAATGAGATATAGGATACGGGATATGGTTATATAATCTCGCGTCCTATTAGTAACTCGACTAGTAGACTAGACCCCTTTATACTTAGTAGATTTAGGGATTATATATTAATACTATAATACTATAATCCCTACTTCTGAATAATAACTTTACTAACTTATGCAAATAGTATTCTATAACTATATAATAGTACTATATATTTCTGGTAAACTAATACTAATTAGTTAGTACTTATAGATTAGGAAGAATTAAGCTATACTTACCTAAGATTCGGTTACTGTAACGGCTGGTGTTATATGGTTGGTTTTAGCCAAAGGGGTTGGTTTTAGCTAAGGTTCCAAGCTATGGTTCAAACCAAGCTCGCTTCCAAAGCTCGGCGTTTTAGTAGTCTTGGCCATACCTACTTATCCACTGCCACACCTTACTCCTTCCTCCTTAGCTTTAAATCCTCAAGATATAGGAAATCATTAATCTTTGAGCCTCGTTCTATTGTTCTGTTCCTGCCGTTATATTATTTAAAGCTCCTATATTCTCGGCAGCGGATATTAGTATTACAAAGCCTGTAACCTTCTATTATCGTCTGTCTGTCTGTCTAATTAGTGGAGCACCGCTCCCAATACCTCTGTTCTGTCTGGCTTGGTGGAGTACTATACCGTTCCCAAGCACCCATTCTGTTATTATCCGGCCTACTGGAGGGCATCCCCATTTTAAACATTTTTTAGCACCAACGTTACCGATATTCCCTTGAGAATAGACCCTACCCTCCAATCCCAAGTCTAATGCGAGTTCGATGGCCTATGCTCGGAAATCGCTACTCTGCAAGTAGCTCTTGCGAAATCCCAAGCTTCCCGGCCCTGTCCAAAGCTCCCTGATCCTGAGAAGTTCGCTGGAAGCATCTATAAATTCGATACTTGGCTCCCGTTAATTGAAGCAAAGCTAGCTGTCGATGGTACGGCAATTGGAGACGCCACGGCTCAATTCTACTACGTCTACCTGAACCTTGATTCGTCCGTCTAATTAATGGTCCTGCCACAGCTTTCTTATGCGAAGCACACTTAGTTATGGGACTACCAAACGATCCTGGATCAGCTTTCACGGGTATACGACAATCCAAACAAGTAATCGGAGGCTGAAGACAAGCTTTACGCCCTCCGCCAAGGCAATGATTCCCTTCCTGCCTATATTGCCAAGTTTGAACATACCCTGTACGAAGCGAATGGTCAAGGCTGGCCAGATATCAATAAAATTTCCAGCTTTCGCAATAGCCTCAATTCCGCGATTCGCTCTCGTTTGGCCCAACAGCTTGTTCTACCCAGGGTTTATGCCGATTTCCTGCGTACGGTTCAGCAGCTCTCGTCAAAAACAGCCGCTCCGCCGTACCAGACTACTCCCAGAATTGCTAGCGATCCCATAGACGTCAGCGAACTGACAATTAGTGCTCTCACGTCAAGCCCAGTACCTATCCGCCAGGACTATCGAAAATCTGGCCAGTGCTTTAGATGCAGTTCCTACGGCTACCAAGTAAAGAACTGTCTCTGGCCACCTGTAAGCACTCCTGGTTCTGGCGAACGGGTTACAATTACCGCAGTAAACGACGATTACTCGGGTACAGAGAGTAATGATTCTGGAGAGGGTTGCGAGCTTCCACCGGGGCTAGACTGGACAAAGCTGATTGCTAGGGAATAGGGTCCTTTTCCTTTGTTCTGTTATTTTTACTATACTCGCTTTAGCTTTCCCTTTGTTTTTCCTAATACTCGGGACGAGCTTTTTTGGAGAGGGGGGTGATATAACGGCGGGTGTTACATGGTTGGTTTCAGCTAAGGTTCCAAGCTATGGTTTAAACCAAGCTCGCTTCCAAAGCTCGGCGTTTCAGTAGTCTTGGCCATACCTACTTATCCACTGCCACACCTCACTCCTTTCTCCTTAGCTTTAAATCCTCAAGACATAGGAAATCATTGATCTTTGAGCCTCGTTCTATTACTCTGTTCCTGCCATTATAGTTACTTAGGAATAAAGCTATTATTCTAGTTAAAAAGAGAATAACTATTAATTCTATTACCTATAATTCGGTTATATAGGCAGGAAAGACACTTAATCTTACTAAGGCCTAATTATACTATATTAAAGAAAGGAATATTTATTAGTTCTATTACCTATAATTCGGTTATATAGGCAGGAAAAAGCACTTAATCTTACCAAGTACTAAAATAGTTAGCTATTTGACTATTCTATTCTATTCCTATTTAACTCCTATAAAACCCTCTCAAAAACCATCTTCTTTTAAATCTCTAGGGCTCTTAAGCTTTAGAACTATTAAGTCTTCCCGGAATCTCGATATTTTACTTCTTAAATTTCATTTCCTAAATTTCTTATTATAAATGAAATTTTTACCTCAAATATAATACCTACTATAAACTACTTTTCTCTTTATAAACCTATTCTTCTTATAAACTACTATACCTCGAACTAGGTATAAGCTTATAAAACATATAATAGCAGAATATACTATAGCGGATAATTCCTTTATTAGATTTATTTAATCCAATTACTTTATAAATAATAATAATTTTAAGAAATTAGTAAGAAAATAGAAATATAGAATTAACCTGAATTTTACTAAGGCAGATAAGATAATTAAGTTCTTAAATACTAAGCTATTTTAATATATTCTCTATAAAATAATTAATAATAGTTTTTAGGAGCTATTTAGATATAATTTTAAGAACTTTACCTATTAAGAAAACTTTAATAAATTCGAACTCCCAGAGATCTTATACTTATATAAGACTCTTTAGTATAGTAATATATTTATATAATAGAATAGTAATATTAATACTATTATAAATATCCTATATATTATTATAAAAGAGAATAAATAGTATATATAATTAAATAAGAATATATTAGTAGCTAGACTAGACTTTATTAAAGAACTAATTCTATTAGGCTTTATTACTTTTATAAAAAACAAGTATCTAGAACCTATTATCTTTAATATTCCTATATTATTACTTTTTCTACTATTTTCTCTACTATTATATCCTATATCTTTACTAGATTTATATACTAGTACGAAAGCTTTAGAAGTAAATAATATATTACTATTATTATTACTATAATTATATCCGAATAATTCCTAATTTCTTTTAACTATAAGACTTATTAGAGAAGTTACTAAGATCTATACTAAAAAGCAAAAACATAATAGATCTAATAATAATTTTAACTATAAATTTACTATTTTTCTTAATATCTACTAATATATAGAGCTTTTATAAGAGGTACTAATGCGAGCTTTTCTTACTATATTAAAGGAACTAGCTTAAGACCATTTTTATAGTAACTAGCTCTTTTAATATATATATAAAAAGGCTTATATTAATATTTGTAATTTCTTTAAAGGCCCTAAATTCGAATATTAAAATTTAGATAAGTAAAATACTACTATATTAGCTTTTATAATAGCTAAATTTCCGGAAAAGATAATATTTGAGATTATTTAATTACTAATTAATAAACTATATTAATTATAGTATAATCTTATATCTAATTCGCGAAATACCGAATTCCTTTATAATAAAATTATTATTTCTTACTAAGGCTCCCGGATATATAAATATATAATCTTAGACTTTCCTATAAATCTCGGCTAGCTTATTAATAAGCTCTAGTTATTTATTACTATATATAAAAGCAAATAATAAGCCAATCCTGAAACCTTCTTTACTAATTAATAATATTACTCTTAGAATTCTTTAAGCTATTATTTTTCCGAAAATTATTAATATAAACTCAGCCATAATTTCGGAACCCGTAATAATTACTTTAAGCCCTATAATTATAATAATTATATCCCGAAGTTATATTTTATATATAAGAAACCCGAATACCGCTTATAGAAGCATATATTAGAGAAATAAGAGGCTAAGAAGGCTTGATTTAGGAATAGAAATATTTATTAGTTCAGATCTCGAAATACCCGCAACTTTAATAAATGCTTTAGTAATACTTATATATAGTATATTACTAAAGCTAAAGGCAAAGAGGATAACGAGAGTAGTAAGAACAAACTAGTAAATAATGCTTTTAAGGCTTTATTAGCGGAAACGAATAAAGAAGAGAAATATTACTCAGATTTCTACTTTATTTTAGTTAAGAGCTTTTTAGCTACTTTTATTACTTTTACTTTACTAATAACTATAACTAATATTCTTATAAATAACCTTATTTCCCTTTTTCTTATATATTAGATAATAGACGAAAATTATATTTTAAAGCCTATTAAATCCTTAATAAAAGACGCCTAGATTTTTATAATTAATAATATATTAAGATATAATACTTACTGCTTTTATAATTAATAATATATTAAGATATAATACTTACTGCTTTTATAAAGTTATAATTAATACCGGAGCCTCTAGATACTTAA